TTCAATGTAGCGGCTGGCTAACATCAGAGACGAGGCGCGAGTGATCGATTATCGATATTTTCCCATTAGAAGCTATGGTAAAGAATCGATTATGAAGGTGATCGTTGCGAACATTTTGTCTATCGATCCTCCTCCATAGGTATAAATGGCAGATCAATCGATATATCTCAAAGCATGACACGCTGCTGGTCAACATGATTCGAAAGAAAATCATTTTTTCTCGTTCAATCTGACATCTGGGTGCGGGCTAACATGATTCGAAAAAAAATATTTTTTTCTTGGTTAGTGTAGCAACTTGCCCCTCATTAATTCAAATTTTCCCGCTCAATTTTCAACCCTGTTACGACACAACTGAAAAACATGGTTGACATGTCATACAATAAAACTAGCCCTCTCGTTAAGATTCACTGATAACGGGAAGATATCCGTGCTATCCTCGCCGTGTCCTTGAATGAATCAATTGAACCCAGTATGATGACACACGGTGAAATATTCTCACCTTCCTTCCTTCGTTGATGTCTGTTGGTAATCAATTAAATTCATAGGAGAGATTACACACGGGGGAAATTTCCGAAATTGAAAATTGAAAATTTATATGACTGTTGATGGAAAAATGTTGAAAAGGTAATCGTACACTCAATGATTAAACTCGAATTTTTCAATCTTTAATTTTCGGAAATTTTCACCGTTGTACGCCTGGTCTCCAATTTTGAAAATGTACCCGGGGACCCGGGAATGAGTGTGATTTCCCCGCTCAATTTTTTCGATGTAGCATGAACAATGGAGGTTGACAATTTATACTCTAAAACACCCGTCACCCCGAAATTTTCCCGCTCAATTTTACATCATTGGTAACGTAATAGCATGAAAAAATTGTTGGTAAATCATTCAACACCCGTAAATTATCCCCGATTTTTCTGCTCAATTTTACTAGACTGATAAGGAATAAGCTTACCCATCACCCCCTGATAGGTAGTGACGTCACACCATGGCACCATGGTTACAAAATCATAGACGCTACCTCACCCGTCACCCATCACCCGTAATTAATTCAAATTTTCCCGCTCAATTTTACAACGTTGGTAACGCGTCACAGCATGAAAAGGCGGATGCCATTTTATACACTAAAATAGCCATCACCCGTAATTAATTCAAATTTTTCCGCTCAATTTTACAACGTTGGTAACGCGTCACAGCATGAAAAGACGACGGTTGCCATTTTATGGAGTAAATCACCCATCACACTGGACACTGTCACCTTATCAACGGATGGTTTCGGGTGGCGAGCTCAAGCAGCCAGGCTAGGAATGTCGCGTAGCAAAACCAATCAGCCAGATGTATGCTAAATTTATGAACATTTTCCGCATGATAATATTCTCAACAATAATTTAGTTCATTCAACCAATACCCTGTATGACTTTTGACAACAATTGAAAAAAAATTTGGAAACTTAAATTGCCATAATTTGGAAACCTGTATTGAATTCGACAAAAAATATCAACCAGTTCATTCAACCAATACCCTGTATGATTTTTGACAACAATTGAAAAAAATTGGAAACTTAAATTGCCATAATTTTGGGAACCTGTATTAAATTCGACCAAAAATATCAACCTGCATTGTTGTCACATCTAAAATAAATTCACAAAAAATTCATCTTTTTCAACAGTCAAATCGGCAACAATGCAGTGTCCTCAAATCCCTATTTTTCCTCTACTATAAAGCGATGCTATTGGTGGAGGCGGGTGGTTGCAATAGACAAAGGAGGTTGTAATAGACTAACTAACGGCAACTCACGAAAGACCGTGTAGTTAGTCTATCATTTTCCCCCTTAGTCTATAACAACCAACCGTTTCAAGCAATAGGACTGCTTCATGTTCCCCATATCTTCTTTGTCTATAGCTTTGTCTACTAATTTCAATAATCAGCCCGCTGGCAACAGAATCGCGTTTTGACGCTTAATTCTTTTAGATTAGCTAAAAATAATAAGATCTGTCCAAAAGGCAACTTTCTACGCTGAATATTAACTTAGATATCACCCTTTGAAAAGTCGGGTTTTTGACATCATCCACCGGTATGTACTTCCGCGTTGGATGAAGTCATAAATCGAGTTTTTCAAGGCGCAATATCTCGGTTAATATTCAACGTAGACAGTTGGTGTTTGATCTTATTATTTTTAGCTGATCCACAAGAATCAAGCATCAAAATGCGGTTCTGTAACCAGCGCAACTGACCCATTATTTTTTGGGCCTATACTAGAAGTAGATCTAAAATCTGAAGACGTTGCTTGCACAAAAGATTCTGAAATGATTCAGAGTTTTCCCACTTGAAGTGATTGAAGGGTGAGGCTATCAGTGTGCTCCACTAAAAAAAGTCCCTTGAGTATGTCGCACAGTGGATCGAGACAATTAGATGGGTCGGACATAAAATTGTTGACTAAAACTGCGTATGCTCATATCGCCACATTTTGAACTTTAAGAGGTGCTTCTAGAAGAAAATTTCGTGAGAATACCAGTGAAACCCCTTTTAAAACCTCAAAGTTTTATAGAAACGGAGTTATACGCGTTTATAAAGTTTCCAAATTGTGTCCGACCTCCCCTGTTGACTCGATCCACTGCGCCTCGTCCAGAAAATTTTCTATCGCTATGAGCATCTTCTCTTTTTGATTTAAAAGAAATTTCTGCTTGACAGCAAATTCAAGACTGTTTCTGCTCAATTCAAGTCACTTTTTTTCATGTGGCTGTTCGTCGTGAGATTGAAAAAGTGCAAAAAACGGAGTCTCAAAATTTTCAGGAAGAATGTAGGAAATGTGTTCTTCAATTTATTATATTCTCAGCCCTACGGAGAGTCTCATAAGTCTCAATGGACCACTAGACAAGGTACGAATTTCAGCATTCTAATGCATTTTTCGTAACCAAAATTTCACGTAGAACACGATATATACAACTAAAATTACCAAAATCAACTCCTTACGAAGATATTTAATGATTCTTGATGCGTGAATTCAAACCACCCGCTTATGAAAACTCAATGCTCTGCGTGATTCACATCGCGCGCTAAACGTTTATCATGACAGTCCCTGCGATATAAAAATCTGGCAACCTCAATCTTGACGCTTTGGCTCAGCTATAGCAAATTGCATATAGTTTGGAACAACACATGGTGGAAAATGAACACTGCTCGATTGAGAGGCTTGCTGAAACCGTTGTAGTGCGCGATTTGACTCGCGTAGAGCCTCGAGTTTTTTATGAGTGGGCTGTTCAAATTCCTTGTAACCAATGTGAAATAAAAACATTAATTTCTTCGTTAGGAGTTGGTTTCAGTCATTTTTGTTGCGCGAATCGTGTTCTGCGTGGAATTTTGGTTAAGAAACATGTATCAGAATCCTTTAATTCGTACCTTGTCTAGTGGTCCATTCGGAATAAGCATTCAGACGCTCATCAGAGGAAAATCTCAATGTTGAGTAAAATTGTACTCTGTGATGGAAAAAATTCATTTTCAAGAGGAAACTTCAAGACGAGAGACATTGATGTTGGCACAATAAAAAGGCATGGCTAATGTAGAATTACACTTCATACCAAATCGGAGAAAAAGAAGAACATTAATTGACGTGTATGGTCGCTGTATGATTCTCGCATACCTACTCCCAGGTTCACGCGGATTCCAAAACTATTTCTTCTGAGCACCTCTCAAAATAGCCAATCTAAAAGGATTATGTCAATTAAATGTCTGTCTTTGTTGTATGTTTGATGTAAGCACCGTTTTAATTTGAAGGTTGCATATTCTCGGATTGGAACCGAACGTCTCAGCACTGTACCCGCCAGTAATTTATCCCGTGCCATCTAGTACACCAACTCTCCAGCCGTTTGTGACGTGGGATCATTCACAAAAATACGGTAATCTTTGTCATCTGGTAAGTGCTGATCTGAATTTTAATAACGAAACCTGACCAAAATCCTCTCTATTCTAATAAAATCATTTTTAAAACGCTCGATAGACGGAATAAGGAAAGGGAGTTCAAAGGTCAGAGTTTTAAAAGAGTGGGTTTTTACTTTCAGAGGCCTTTTTTTAGTCGTGGTACCTGTCAAGGTCGAATTCCCAAAAAATGAATCAAAACTCTGAGTAAGGAGAAAGTCATTAAAAAATATTGTTTGGTGGGAAATTTCTCTTTAAAACATCGCTTTGTTATTCAATTAAAATTATTTACTCATTAGTCGCCAACGGACGATATCGACGATTTCGCTGGCCACGAAGCGGCCTTTAGGGACTCGCAGGGGCCAGGGAGCAGAGCCCGCTAGTAACAAAAATTAGCGTTTGGGGACGCGCAGCGCCCCGGGGATTGGGCCGCGTAACGGCCAGGGAGCGGACCCCTTAGTAATCTATTCACGCAAGAAATAACTTCTTCAGTCACTATCAAGCGAATCATGGACGGGTTCAATTAGTACTGGTTTTAAAAACTTCGGATGTCCAGTGATACCCGAATCTTTCTCTTTGATATGAAATTAGTGTAACGCATAACGCTTGAGACGCGGAGCGCTTCGGAGGGTTGGGCCATGAAGCGGTCAGTGCGGTCGTACCCCCTGATATTTTTTTTAAAAATAGAGCTAGTGATACGTAAGGTGGAGGAATGAGTTGGTATTTGGTTCAGTAATGTTTATTTATTGCATTTTTAAAAAGCAGGATATGCGCTAAAATCACAAAAATCATCCCGGATCCTCTTGGGAGATAACAATGGAGATGTTGCATGTGTGAGGATTTTGCGATTTGACTATAGTGATTCTCACGTAAAAGTTTGCGAGAAACACGATAGTGCCACTGGTTTTCTCTGAAATTATCTCCCAAGCTCAAAAAAAGCTCTCAAAGTGAGTCCAAAATGGAGGGAATATCCCACCCTACCCTGAGAGTCCACCTCTACATCAAAACAAACCCCCCATGCAAAGATAGGGAGCAAATACATTAGCAGGGTTGCCGTGTTTTCAGTTTTGAAGTCCCCAAATAAAGCGGGCAGCCCTGTCAATGTATTTGCTGACTAGCTTTGCATGGAGAGTTTGTTTTGATGTAGAGGCGGACTCTCAGGATAGTGTGGGATATCCCCTCCATTTCGCCTTAACTTTGAGAACTTTTTTTGAGCTCCCTAGTCAAAATTGGCGATAGGAGCTGAGTTTCAAAATACCATAGGAGTTCTTATAGCCGACTGAAGACGGCGATAGAAAATCATATAGCTGGCTGTAGAAAGTGGAAAAAATCATACGGCCGGGCTACACGAAGCGATAAAAAATTATACAGCCGGGCTATAGTTCCTATCGCCGGGATTTACACTTTATCGCCTGGCTGTTGCTTTTTCGCCATCGGCTATAAAAGGCTATAAAAAATTGTGTAGAAATTCGTATGCTTTGTAAATCCTTAGGTTTGTATGGAATCACCTTAATATTTACAAAACGCACATTATATTTTCCTTTACTACATATTTTTTTTTCATCAACTAAAATGAGAAAAATCCATACAGAGTGTGCAAACGTTTCAAAGTCATGAGTTTAAAAACGCTGACTCCACGAGATTAAATATTAGAGCCTAACACAAAGCGGAGCGGCGGCGCACTGGCGCCTACAAACCTAACAGGGATACTTCACGCATCGCGCAATGCGTGAAGTATCCCTGTTAGGTTTGAAGGCGCCAATGCGCGTTTCCGCTGGCTGCTCGCCCGCCGCGCCGCGCCGCACCGCCGCGTATCACGGCGCTTGTAGCAACTATTTCACACCAGAGGTATTGCACAGTATCATACAAAATTGAAGGCGCTCCAACATATTAGGAATGGCAGGCATCTTTCAAAAGTACGGAGCTTTACTTGCAAAATAAATCAAGCTACTAAGGTCCAAAAAGAGAGCGGTAGTCCAAAAACTCACTAAGTCCTAGCATTCGTAATTACTAACGTTTAGCATACACTATATCGCCAGGCTGTTGCTTAATCGCCATCGGCTATAAAAGGCTGTAAGAAATTTTGTTGCCGGCGATAGGAGCTATTGGAAATCTTACAGCCGGCTGTAGGTCTATAGTAGTTTGGAATACAGATTCTTGGATTCCACTGCCAATTTTTACCAGGGCTTGGGAGTTGATTTCAGGGAAAACCAGTGGCACCATCGTGTTTCTCGCGAACTTTTACATAAGACTCCGTAGTCAAATTGCAAATTCCTCACACATGCAACATCTCCATTTACGAAAAACGAGTTTGAAATTGCGTTTTTTGAGTTTTTATTTAGACACGCTTCGCCGTGAAAATCAAGATGGCCCCGAGTGTATCCATCCTGCTGCGGGTACACTTTCGACCACCAGACCCCTGCTCTACCACGATTTCTGGTCCGAGCAGTCGTTTCAATGCCCTCGATCAAATTTTGGTGATAACCAAAATCTCAATTTTATGAGAGAGCTTTACCAAACGTTCTCATAAATATGTCGACGTGATCATTGACCCTCCAATTTTTTCCGGGAAAATGGAAGAGGAAATTTTTAGAAAAACTTGTTTTTCTTATAACAAAGCGTTGAGGTAAGTCAGGAAATTATTTTCTGAATTTGCATCGCTATCTTCGGCTTATACCTTTTACCCAAGTTTCTACAGAGTACATATTTTTGAAGCAAGAAAAAAAATTTCCGACCTTCTTACACAGAATTCGGGCCACGTTCTTATAACATATTTTTGAGATTGACACGCTTCCTTGTGAAACTTTGTAAGGTTTTCGTTAAACCGGGATAATATTTCCATTTTACCTTACCACCCATCATGACCATTTAAACGTACTTACCCAGTGTATTGATGTCAGTCTTTTATGTGGACAAAGTTCTCATTAATAAAATTAATGGACCTACATAGAAAAATGAACAAATCACCATTTATATAGGTTACGTAATTTTCTTTTTTCATTTTACTCTTATTTGTGTAATCTTTACATTCATGAAAACAGCCTTTGCAAGCGTCAAATATGCTTGACCACTGTGAGCGCGTTACAACGTTGGAAAATATCAAAAAATCTTTGGAATCTCATAAAGATGGTGCCTCTTCAATCTCACCGCTATCCTTTTTCTTGGTGAGTTTTCTTCTTTATTTACTTTTTTCCGTCTGAACCTTATTCTTGACGAATACTGGCCGTTTTGGGCGCACTACCCAAGTAGCGCAGTGGAACGAATTATTGACATTAAATTGCAATTTGATTTCAATGAAATTGTAATTTTTTTACCATCAAATTGCAAAAATTTTACATCATTTAGTCGATTTATGCCAATTTTTAAACAATCAACAAAATGGGCTCCATGTGTCAGAAAGATGGGCAATATGTAGTGAAATGAATAATTGCAACTTAGTTCAATTTCATTGCATTAAGTTTCAATAAATGGGGGCCCCTTCAAATCTGAGCTAGGCAACATACACAACACTCAGTGGAGTTGCAATGTTTTTACAATGTAATTGCAACTTACTGCAACATGTGCTACTTGGGTTCGTTAATGATATCCACTTTACATTCATGCATAAAAGAAGCAGCTTCGAGATTCGTCTCCTAAGATTATTTTTTGAATTTTTGATGGGGAAATTCACTTATACCTGAAAAGAAAGTTAAATTATTTGAGTCTGCTTTGATTGCTCTTCAGTTCATATTCAAAAGCTTACTATCGATGGACTACGGAAGTCTGTACCTCGGGTTCATTTCAAAATCTCAACTTGTTTTTAATGTTACGAGAGGAAAACATTCTGAAATTATTTTTGAAAGATCACAGGCATATCTCGCAATTTTGGGTGATTAAATGCAATAATCAGGGGTCATCCATCAAAAAAGTGAGTTGTGACAGTAGTACGGTGGGTACGATCAAAATCGACGATTTTTTGATTGGAAATTGCCACTTCGGGAGGTCATACTGGATGAAAAAATAAAAGTTTTTGTCCGTAGAACCACTTTCAAATCCGTGCAGGATCCAAGATGGCGGCCGTTAAAGATGGCGGCCAAGCGCTTTTTTGAAGTGCTATATCTCTGTTGCTAATTGTCCGATTTTGATTTTCTTTTTTTTAAGTGAGAGCTAAAAGGGCCTAGAATATGAATAAATTGTAACAAATTCAATTTGGCCAACAATTTGTCCAAAATTTTACAAAAAATTTTTTCCTTGAAAATTCCTAAAATTTCAAAGCAAAATAACTTTTAACTGAGCAGGAAAATTGATATTTTCTCTTTAGTAAAAGAGATGGGTCTTGATCTCGCGTTTAATTTGATACCAAAACCATTTTTGTGCTACGAGTAGTTAGCCGGCGAGAGCCATTTAAGTTGCTCCGGGCGCCCTACGGGCGCCCTCCACAGCTAGCAATGGTGGTGCAGTAGCTTATTTGGAATCGGAGCGATTAGTTGAATCTATTTAATAATGATGATGATTCTGCGGCAGAAGATCAAGGAATTTAACTGCCTCTCTGCGTTACAGGGTGGAGACTGCCATTCTACCGAAAAATGTTATAAAAAGCTCGCATTATTAGTTTTTCCTTTTTTTTGTGTTATTTTTTAATTTTTTTTTATTTTTATTTTTTGATAATTTTCTAATGACTATGAGGCTTTTGAGATTTATAAAAGATCGAAGCACCTCTTTGTGCACGATGTTTTTTGTACGGTTGCCTTTGGGAAGAATTTGGACTTCAAAATTTTTGTACGATGTAGCTCGTAAGAGTGCAACATATAGTTGACCATGACCAAAAACTGTTTGGGGTAAATAAATGCCGACTCGCTTCAGTGTTTGACCCTTAGCTTTGATGATGGTCATGCAGAACACAATGCGAATTGGAAATTGTCGCCTCTTAAAAGAGAAAGGGAGAGAGGAGACTGCAGGTGACAAATCAATTCTTGGCAGTGAAATTCTTTCACCGGCCTTCTCGCCGGAAATTACCTGCAAATCAAGACAATTTTCATTACGTTTCCAGACAATCAATCGGGTACCATTCGATAAACCTTTAGAAACGTTGAGGTTTCTTAAAAGCATGACAAAAACCCCCTCCAAAAGTGTGAGTTTATTCGGTGGTAAGCCACTAAGATTAAGACTGTCCAAGAATTCGAGGGAAAAATTGAGAGCCTCTCCCTCTTCCTCTACAATGAGCCTGTTAACACTGTAGTACGTTTTAGAGACACCTGAAAGAACTTCAAGAACCTTTGTCGTTAATTTCATTGCAATGCTTATTTTTAGGGGCCAGAATTGCGCAGTTAGTGAAATCTACGTTCGAACATGAGGAAGCTATCTTTTCCATAAATTTCAGTAATAATATCAGTTTCAGTAGTACTGCTTGTCGGTAAATCAATGAATTCCGGCATGGCCTTTTTTAGTAGAAAGGTAAACACCATCACCTATTTCGAGTTAAAGTTTTGCGAACTCCGCTTCGTCTTGCAAAGTTCTCATATTTTGAGTAAGTTTTCTGATTTTGAAAAGAGGTCAAAGTGGTGAGAATTTGATTGCATTTTGCTCCAATGTTTGGCGAGAAGCATGCGGAACAACGGGTAAAACCTGTCTAAAATCACCACCCTAGACGACAATTTTTCCTCGAAAAGGGATATCATTACCCATTCTCTAAGAAGTCGGTCGATGCATGCCAGGGCATGCGTGATAACCATGGGAGCTTCACCCCAAAAAATGATCGTTGTTTTCCGAATAGTCTCAGCCTCTCTTGAGCTAACCATCAGACTCGACACAGAATTCTCATTCAGAACCGAAAGAATTTTGAATTTGCTATGAACCGGCCGACCGGTAGGTAGCAACGATGCGGCGATATCTGTCCAAGCAACGGAGATGACGTCTAAGTTTTCCTTTGTACAATACGCAGTAAGACATTCTTAAACGAAAGTTTTTCCCAATTCTCCTGGACCATCAATGAAAATTGCATTACACGTGTAAGATGGATTTTGGATGAGACTAATTATTTCAGAAATAATTTGATGTTGCTCTGGGTTAGCGGCAGAAATCATGGAATCATAGTTTTAGGGGGAGGAGAGTCAGGCTCCGACCCTTGAAGATTCAGGTTAATTGGAAGCAATTCCGGAAGATCAAATGATGATATTGAAAATCCATGAAGTCTTAATGTGCTTTCAATAGCAAAAAGCCGATCAACGTAGTCGACCGACCAACAAAATAAAGAGAGAGGAAGAAACGAAGTATCAAGCAAATTTGAGACAAAGTTGGAAAGAGAAAAGAACAAATAAGAATGAAATGTCCATAACAATACATATTGTTAGCAATACGTGTGCGCACCGCTGCAGTTAATAAGTCAGGGTCAGTCAAATCGCCAGGATGCCTATCAAGAAGTGGTGAAGCGGAGTAGCCGACAGATTGCGACGGAATGTGGGTGGTGAGTGACGAACGACAATGCGACCCAAACCTTCTTTGAGGTTGGTGGGAGGAAAGCTATACGAGAGAAAACGGAGATAGCCGAAAGAACGTGGTGGGAGGGGTGGCTGGGACCCTAGAGGGGGTATCTAGGGACGGGCAAGCAGGTAGCGGCCAGATGACCGCTCGAAACAGCCGAGCTTTACTCGTCGATAAAAGTAAGAAAATTTGAGAAAATCGAAAAAACAATTACAGCCTGCAAATCTACAGATCAGAAGCTTTCATTTAAAAAAAAACCCATGCAAATCGGTTCGGTGGTTCTCTCAAAGTTAATGTCCCAAAATGCGGACTTTAGTCTGAATAAATGGGAGAAAATTTGAGCCCAGCTAAACTTCACTCGTCGATAAAAGTAAGACAATTTGAGAAAATCGAAAAAACAATCACAGCCTGCAAATCTACAGATCACAGGCTTTCATTTAAAATAAAAATCATGCAAATCGGTCCAGTGGTTCTCTCAGAGTTAACGTCCAAAGATTCGGACCTCCGTTTTAATGCATCGAAGAAAATTTGAGAAAATTATGGGAGAAAATTTGAGAAAATCGAAAAAACGATCACAGCCTGCAAATCTACAGCTCAGGGGCTTTCATTTAAAAAAAAGATCACGCAAATCGGTCCGGTGGTTCTCTCAAAGTTAATGCCCCAAGATTCGGAACTTTGCATTTTAATATATAGGATTAAAATTAAATGGAGAGAAAGCGCGTTCCCAAACATACCTTACCTGGTCAGCAGCGCAAAGGGTGTGCTGCTTTAATGCACCTTTTGTGGGGGGCAAATTATGAAGTTCCCTATTTTTGGTGTAAGTGGAAATTTTCTCAGCAGATGCAGGGGCTTATTTCCTGATTTTTCGTACTGAGGACGGCATAATTTAATAAAACCGATATCCGCTCCTGCGCCTGCTAAGAAAACCTCTATTTACCGCCAAAAATAGAGGCGACATGTAGGCATATTTTTCCAGGGTTTGAAAACAGGCATCTGGAAGTGTTGAGGACGAAAGAGGGAAAAACGCCGCTGTTGCATCGGAAAAGTTTTCCACGTGCACTATGCACTTGGTTGTAGAGAAGGATTCTTAGCCCGCTGATCATTTCATCAGTAGAGTTCACCTCTAAGCGAGAAAATTGTAGAAATCGTTCCTAAAATTCCATGAGAATGCTGATTATCGGCAATATATCGTCGTTTAAAAGTGTAATGAATCAAATAAAGAATCAAATTTGTTGCGGTTTCATCCATCTCCATCTCATGAAAACTTAAGGAATAGTAATAAGTTCGTTATACATTTTTTCATATTTATCATGTTAACCAGAGTATTTATTTTTTTATTATAGGTATTCACTTCGTCTCAAGAGGGTATGAAAGGATTTTCCAAAATTAACAATTTTCATGAAAATTTTGCGATGAATGATCAAAAAATAGCGAATATTCCAGTTCTGTAGCGCATGAACGCGGGCCAACGCGAGGTTGCACGGCGCATCAGTGGCGAACCTCTACCCGAGCGCGCGACCAAAACCGTCCTCACGCGTTTTCTATTCGTCACAAAAAAAAGGTTTTGGTATCGTTTTGAAGGTCAGAAAATCTTCTATCCACTTCAAGAAAATAAATGGCTCTAATTGCGCCCAGAAACAAAAAATCAACGGCTGTTAAGATGATCGAAATTGAAAAATTCACGTATTTTTTCATAATATGGCAAATTATTTAAAGGTAAATGTAAAAATGCACATTATTTGAAAAGGTCTTTATAGTAGCTTTCAAACGAGACCAAAAGTTTGAAAATCGAACGAACGGTTGGAGAGATGCAGCGCCTTTTACACGTGTGAAGCGCGCCCGTGGCCATGAACGCGGGGTGGAAATCGCGCGCCGCGGCCGATCGCGCGATACTTAAATGGCTCTCGCCGGCTAACTACTCGTAGCACAAAAATGGTTTTGGTATCAAATTAAACGCGAGATCAAGACCCATCTCTTTTACTGAAGAGAAAATATCAATTTTCCTGCTCAGTTAAAAGTTATTTTGCTTTGAAATTTTAGGAATTTTCAAGGAAAAAATTTTTTGTAAAATTTTGGACAAATTGTTGGCCAAATTGAATTTGTTACAACTTATTCATATTCTAGGCCCTTTTAGCTCTCACTTAAAAAAAAGAAAATCAAAATCGGACAATTAGCAACAGAGATATAGCACTTCAAAAAAGCGCTTGGCCGCCATCTTGGATCCTGCACGGATTTGAAAGTGGTTCTACGGACAAAAACTTTTATTTTTTCATCCAGTATGACCTCCCGAAGTGGCAATTTCCAATCAAAAAATCGTCGATTTTGATCGTACCCACCGTACTACAGAAAACCTGCACAGTCTAACCTGGGGTAAGTGCTTTTACAATTTTACCGACGATACGTCATGTTTTAGCTCTGTTCACATGGTGCGATCCAGAGGATGTCCCTACACTGAAAAAAAATAATCAGCGTTTTTACCAAGGTCCGTTGGTACCTTTACCATCTCACTCTTTTTACCAATTATTGGTAATTTTACCAAGACAGACTGGTAAGCTTACCTAAAAACCGGTATTTTTACTATTTTTTTCAGGTAAGAATACCACTTTTATTGGTAATCAATTCCTGGTAACTTTGCCATTTTATCTCGGTAATTCTACCACGGTCGATAAAAAATATTGGCGTTTTTACCAAGGTCCAGTAAAATTACCGAGAAACTTCGATAATTTTACCGTGATTTCTCGGTAAAATTACCAATTCCATAAATGGTATTTTACCAAGAAAAAACTGGGATCAAATAGAACCCTGAATTCTTGGTAATTTTACCCTTTTCTTAGTAAATACACCGATATTTTTTTTCAGTGTATTTAAATTTTTCAGAGCTCTCTAGCGACCTCGTTTTGTTTACTTTTTTATACAGGTTGAAATTTGGAAAATGTTTGGAGTCACCGACAAGACACGCTATGCTAAGATTCCTGTTGCTTTTGAGGATATCCAAATCTACTCGGAACTGAACATAAATACGACTGGTAATGTGACCTTTTTTTTTTAAATAAAAATGTAAGGCCTCGAGGGTCGTCCTTAAGGTGGTTCGTCAGTTGTCATTTTTTGTGTTTGAGCGACGTCCGATATATCGCATCAATTCATTCCATAATTTCAGCTACTTGTCATTTTTTTCGAATTTTGAGATCTCACTTCTGTTGTCATGAGACTAAAGGATTCATGTACCAAATTTGACAAAGAAATTCAACGTAATAAAGGCAGGGATTTTTTTTTAGAGGAAATTCAGTTTCTTTGTATGAAAACAAGACCTTTTAGAAGGCCGTGAGTGCGCAAAAAATGACCTAGAGCCCATTTTCTCTAAACTTCATTTCTGATCCGTCCCAGTAGCAGTGATCATAATAAATAGCAAATTCATCGGTTGGTTATAGTGATTTTATCGGTGGAAATTTCTCGCGATACAGTTGGATTAAAAATTCGCTAAAATCGCTGTACATCGGAATTTTTTGTTCGATGAAATCGCGATCAATATTTGTCAATAATATCAGGATTAAATCGCCATACAACGCGATTTGCTTCTCGATAATATCGCGATAAATTGCCGGGACATAAGATCGCGATTTAATCGCGATAAGATCGAGGACACTCGCATAGATGTTGATGATCTCAGCGATTTTATCGCCGATAAAATTGCAATAAATCGCGATTTCATCGGCGATAAAATTGCTAGGATCATCAACATTTAAGCGATTATCCCCGATCTTGTTGCAATAAAATCACGATTTTATCGACCGGCAATTTATCGCGATATAAGGCGATTTAATCTCGATTTTATCGACGAAAATTGATCGCGATTTTATCGAACGAAAAATTGCTATGCATAGCGATTTAATCGCCATAAATCGCAATTTTTTATTCGATAATATTGCGATAGATTGCCACCGATACAATCGGGATAATCAACCGATAAAATTGCTATTTGTCACGATCACTGCTACGTGGATTGCAGTGGCGTAGCGTGAATTGTGATGTATCGATTGTTCTGCCACTTAAACCCATGGTAAATAATCGATTATTAAGGTGTTCGCTGCAAACACCCTGTTTATCGATCCTTTTCCATAGGTTTAAATGGCATAACAATCGATATATCGCAAAGCACGCCACGCCACTGGTGGGTTGGGTTGCGGCCTTCTTTGTTATCATGGCAGATTTGTCCATGAATGTTTTATTTGTCTTGTCCATGAATGTTTTATTTGTCATAATGTGCCTCTGGTTTCTTCTCCTCTTTCAGACTCGAGTAATGTATACTTATCAGTCTTGCCGGGAAAAGGGGATTTTTCCGTGATGCAGGAGACGAAAAAGACGGAGTCTTCGGTCGAAAGCGAATTGACGACGCTCATCTGCGGGAAAATCCGAGTTTGCGAAAAGGCACCTTCCCTCGGGGGTTTTGCAGAGAAAATCAGCCAGCAGATCACGAGCTTGATCGAAAAATCCCCAAGCCCTTGCAAAGTGACTGCGGATTCTTGTGAGCTTCAACTTTGTAACACAGGTATAATGTCTTTGCTGGTTTTATCAATATTTAAGAGTAAAAACTGTACTTGAAGTGCTTGGAGGACAAGGCGCGTAAGTGCAGTATATAAATATAATATTTTACGGGAAAAAAATTAATGAAAAAAATTTATGGAAAATAGACAGAAAATTTAAAGTAAGTGTCACTATTTACAGAAGAAAATATGTCTTTTTCCTCAACTAAGGCTAAAATCAACTTAAAAACTCAATTCGCTTACGTATCTAATTGCCACCAGACTAGTTTCGGGAGCTTTCATCCATCTCCCATCATCAGTGGTTGTTGACTGATTCGGAATTCGTGGTCGCATTGCACGCATGTGGCTGAACTTTGGACTCCAATGCTCGGAACAGGATGTTGTCTAGTCCGTCCAAATCCTCATTTAAAACGTTCGCGCGGTGTTTAAAAATATATAACTTCTCTGCTGTGTTTAGTTGACTGACTTTGGTGACTGATTTGAGTAATTCAGGTTTTAAATCTATGCTGTGTTTTGCCTCCCAAAAATGCTTTGCCACTGCTGATTTTGTTGTTTCTTCGTTTTTTATGTTCCTAGCGTGCTCTTTAGCTCTTGTTTCGATATCTCTTTTCGTTTGTCCGATGTACACTTTCTCGCATCCAGAACAATTTATTTTATAAATTCCCGATTTTTTTAAAACGGGTGTCTCATCTTTTAAATTCCTCATTCCAATATTTCTAAGGTTGTATTTATTTTTGGGAGCTACGCATAGACCATAATTTTTAAAAACTTTTTTTAGGTCTGAATAGATTGCAGGATGATAGTTTACTGAAACCCATTTTCTTTCTTCACAATCCTTTTGAAGGGTGGTAATATTCCTGATTCGTTGTTTGTATTTTGCTGTGTTAATTATCCTATTGATTTCTGATGCCTCAAACCCATTTTTTTGCCCTATTTCAATAATTTTTGTCCTTTCCCTATTCAGTCTTTCTGGTGTCAAGGGGACTTTGATCATTCTTTGTATTAAACTTCTAAATGCGGCTAATTTGTGCTCACGTGGGTTATACGCTTTTTCATTGATGTATACGTCAACATGTGTGGGTTTTTGATATATATCGAATTCAAGCCTATTATTTACCCTGATTACTTTCAAATCTAAAAATGGGAGAGTCCCCTCTTTTTCTATTTCCACTGTGAAATTGACGGTATCTTCTATTGAATTCAGTAATTGTAAGCACTCGTCTACTTTATCTCTGTCTATAACGGCGAATATGTCGTCAACTTTTCGAGACCAATGTTTGAATAACGAGCTACTTTCCTTTACGTTCATCTCTAGGTCACTCATAAATAATTCGGATAAAATTGAAGATAAAGGGTTACCCATTGTAAAGATTGTGCCCCATTTGTGCTGATAAAGGTAACACAGTAGTCATCCTTGACAAAGATAACTACATTAGAAGAACTGAAAATATGCTCAATGATGAAGCATTCAAATTACTAAAGAAAGACCCCTTGAACAAGTACAAAAAACAAGTAAATGATTGTCTTAAAGCCTGTAATAACATAATAGCAGATAGTGAAAAGAAGCATCTAAAAATTAACAACCCAAAGATTCCAAAATTATATACTTTGCCCAAGATCCACAAACCCGGAGATAAAATGAGACCAATTGTGAGCAGCGTGAACTCACCCGCATATAAATTAGCTAAATGGATGAATAAAAGATTAAATTTGTTTGAAAGTTTCGATTCCCTAAGTATAAAAAACTCCTTCGATTTTGTGGAAAAAGTAAAGGATATCAGATTAGACAAAAATGACATCCTTGTGTCATTCGATGTGGAGTCGCTTTACCCTAGTATACCCCTCGAAAAAACAAAAACTTTGTGCAGGAAATGGTTTGAAAAGAATAACATTAGTGAGAAAAATATTGAAGAATACATGCAAATAATAACAGTATGCACAGAACAACGCTTTTTCCAATTTAACAACAAGTTTTACATTCAAAAAGACGGCCTTACAATGGGTAACCCTTTATCTTCAATTTTATCCGAATTATTTATGAGTGACCTATAGATGAACGTAAAGGAAAGTAGCTCGTTATTCAAACATTGGTCTCGAAAAGTTGACGACATATTCGCCGTTATAGACAGAGATAAAGTAGACGAGTGCTTACAATTACTGAATTCAATAGAAGATACCGTCAATTTCACAGTGGAAATAGAAAAAGAGGGGACTCTCCCATTTTTAGATTTGAAAGTAATCAGGGTAAATAATAGGCTTGAATTCGATATATATCGAAAACCCACACATGTTGACGTATACATCAATGAAAAAGCGTATAACCCACGTGAGCACAAATTAGCCGCATTTAGAAGTTTAATACAAAGAATGATCAAAGTCCCCTTGACACCAGAAAGACTGAATAGGGAAAGGACAAAAATTATTGAAATAGGGCAAAAAAATGGGTTTGAGGCATCAGAAATCAATAGGATAATTAACACAGCAAAATACAAACAACGAATCAGGAATATTACCACCCTTCAAAAGGATTGTGAAGAAAGAAAATGGGTTTCAGTAAACTATCATCCTGCAATCTATTCAGACCTAAAAAAAGTTTTTAAAAATTATGGTCTATGCGTAGCTCCCAAAAATAAATACAACCTTAGAAATATTGGAATGAGGAATTTAAAAGATGAGACACCCGTTTTAAAAAAATCGGGAATTTATAAAATAAATTGTTCTGGATGCGAGAAAGTGTACATCGGACAAACGAAAAGAGATATCGAAACAAGAGCTAAAGAGCACGCTAGGAACATAAAAAACGAAGAAACAACAAAATCAGCAGTGGCAAAGCATTTTTGGGAGGCAAAACACAGCATAGATTTAAAACCTGAATTACTCAAATCAGTCACCAAAGTCAGTCAACTAAACACAGCAGAGAAGTTATATATTTTTAAACACCGCGCGAACGTTTTAAATGAGGATTTGGACGGACTAGACAACATCCTGTTCCGAGCATTGGAGTCCAAAGTTCAGCCACATGCGTGCAATGCGACCACGAATTCCGAATCAGTCAACAACCACTGATGATGGGAGATGGATGAAAGCTCCCGAAACTAGTCTGGTGGCAATTAGATACGTAAGCGAATTGAGTTTTTAAGTTGATTTTAGCCTTAGTTGATTTAATCGGTTCGCTGTTTTTTAGTTTCGTTCATTGTTTTAATTTTAATGTCTTTTTCCTGTCTACAAAATGGATGTATTTTCCATCTAGAAAATTGATAGGGCTATTTCCTTAAGAATAAATATTCAAAAACCTGATGAAAAATAGAGAAAAATTGGATATTTTCTTTATTTATTTCTTAGAAATTTAAAATTCAGAAAACAGATAGGAAAAACGCAGAATGTGGACAACAAAATTGTCTGTTTTCCTAGTTTATAGTGTCCGGAACATAGACAGAAAATAGAAGTTTTTTAATAATTTTCTTACTTCTATATGATACATCTATTTTCATTCCATTTTCTTTCTATTGTATTTTCTGTCTAGAAAATAGACAATTTCTAAATTAGTGCTAGACAGAAAATAGAACCCCATGCTACTTGGGCATTTTTGAAAGAATTGAGATGCAAAAATAGTCTTAATGCCTACTCAGTGAAAAATTCGCTCCCAAATTTAATTTTTTAAGCATCAAAAAGTCAGTTTAAACTTTCTTTCCATCATAAGGGTACATGTAATTTCGAAACTTCAAATACGTATTTCTCGAAATAGCAAAAACTGCACTTATGCGCCCTGTCCTTCAAGCCCCTCAATTGAGGTCGCGCATAGGCGCAGGAAGTGAATATCGATGGCTAAAGACATTGACTAGCGTTTCAAAAAAAAAAAAAAAAAAAAAAAAGTCAAGCAGGAACTCTGCTTTGTCGCACGTGGAGCTCCGTGGTTTCGCACTTTGGACGTCGATATGAAAATAAAGAGAAGACATAATCAGTTGGATTTTGTGTTTTAATTTTCTATCAGAGTAAATGACAAATGGACGGAGTTAAACAGAAAGGAACCAAGCCACATCGGGATCGAACCGAGAAAAAGAGGTTTAAAGTTTGACTCCTGCATAAGACTCAATGTAAAAGATAAACTTCAAGTTCGATTTCTGCAAAATTTGCTCCAACAAAAACTTTGAATTTTTGGCGATAGATAGTAGAGCAGTGGTTGAGTTCAAAATCACTCATAACTCAATTTTTTCCAAAATGTGGGTTGGTTCCTTTCTGCTTAACTCAGTCCAAATGGTCCATACAGCGAGACGTGTACCTGTGCAAAAGACTTCAAAATCACAAGTTGAAAAACGCTGCGCAAGTTTGAATGATTGTATTAAATACTGCATTCGGCACGGAACGCATATTAGCGCCTGCAAGACTGCATGAATACTTCACGCATTGCGAGTACTCCACCGCGCGCGCTGTTAGTGCCTGCAACACTGAATGGATACTTCACGCATTGCGCGTACCGTGCGCACCTCAATCGTCGTGTTTCCCCGTTTTCCGTTCTGTGTATGTCAAAGTGTAAACAACGCGCAACAGCTGATCCGTTTGCCCGACGCTTAATGAGCGCGTGACTCAAGTTTCTCTTATGAGCACTAATTTTGAATTTATGCATCAGGAAACTTAATATCTTTGTTGGTAGTTACTTTCAATAGTTTTCGTCTTGCAAATCGTGTTCTATGTTCACAGCGAAGATGCACTCCTCCTGTGTGGTATTGCTCGAGAAAATTCAAATTGAAAGACCATCGCACCAGTATGTAATGAGTGTACACAATGATGATCGGCCTTTCTCTTGCGATCAGTGCTCAAGAAAATTCAAATTTAAACTTGTTTTATTTTTTAAATTTAAATTTGAATTTTAGACAAAAAATTTGGCAACGCCTGAAGGTTCATGCGGCGTTCTTCCTTAGCACAGCAGTACTGTGGCGACTAATATATCGACGGTGAAACTAACAGGCCTCGTTTCTCGTTTGCGGTGTTTAAAAATCTATGTTCTCATTTTATTTTTGTGAAGTAGGAAAAACCGATACTACTCCTTGAAGTCTTCACAGATTTTCTAGACACAGAGAAGTAAAATCATGGAAATTTTCCAGAACTGATGTTGAGTAGTTTTCCATCTGAAAAATGAAGTATGGCAGGAAGTCTGCAATATACGTGGTCTGGTAATTTTACCGTCGATATACATACTCACGATGGATGCTCTCGTTAAAAAAATGTTTGAGTCGATGTCTTGATCCTAGACGAGGTTACGTTCTTTCGTTTTGGAAACGGACGAAATGTTTGTCTTCTATCAAACTTTATCTTATTCGCGATGCGTTTTTATGATTTTCTCCTGTTTTTATCCAATTTAAAGGTGCTTTTGGAGCGATAAAATGGAGCTCAAATTTGGCAGTCAGCCTTAACAGGATCATGAGCGTGCATCGTTTGCATGAAACCCATAAAACGGCCAAACCTGTGAAATTAGCTTCAATAAGATTTTTGCATCTGAACCCGATGGAAATCAAAGCCAATAAGGAAGGTAAGCCTAGTTTGTTCCTTAAAACATTTAACGAATTGATGACTATATGACATTTATAGGTGAAATAATACATGCTTGCCTGCCCAATCATATGTTGCAATAAGACAAACAATTCTTTAACATGTAGATTTTTTTAAGCGAAGTTTTCGTTTCTCTTGGAAAAGCAATACACACGAAGTAAAGGTTTCACGCAGAGTGACGTTGTCAGTCAAGGGCTAAGTTTGTATACGCGTCTATGTTACGAAAAAAAGAAGGTAGAAAACATGTGACACATATATTACTTTTTTATCGAAGGAACTTTTTTCAACACAAGTATGGTTGGTTGGTTAATACATTTATTTACAAGTGCTTTAACAATACATAGGTCATTAACATCTTACAAAATAGAGATCAATAGAAAAAAAATCAATTATATACTATGCATGAGTTGTACGATATGATCGATTATAGAAATGTGCAAAAAATAAACAAGACAAAGGAAGTTGTGCATTAAGAGAGCTGTCAATAAATTCCGTCATAAATAGTGGAGGTGCAGTGTTCTTTCTTCGTGGATCGAAGGGGCCGTTTCATAAAATACTTTAGCTCGGGAGATCGGAAAAATATTAGGAGCGGCTATAAATACGACCAAAAGGTATTAGTGCTACCAGAAGGCCTCTTTGGCCACTATGCAACCCATCCATCAATAAACGCTCAGCGCCCTCACAACAGAGACGAACCCTAGGTACATTAATTTAAAGCAAGCAACTATTTTAACTCTCCGGATGTGCTGGTTGCATGTCAAAATCATGAAGGCGTTTTAAACGACGAAGTCCTAGCGAACAGTCCAGCAGCTGTGGGCTGCTAAAACTGAGGTCGTCGCTCATTTAAGACAAGTTATCACCGCTGGTATCAGCGTTACCTGAAGCTCCCTGCGGGCCGATTATTGAAATTGATAGACAAAGCTATAGACAAAGAAGACAAATAGAGTATGTAGCGATCCCATTGGTCGAAACTGGTGGACTTTACAGACTAAGAGGGAAAATGATAGACCAACTGTCTGGTCTCTTGTCAATTGCCGTTAGTTAGTCTATTACCTACCTCCTTTGTCCATTGCAACCACCCGCTTCCACCAATAGGATCCCTGAATATCCATTTTGTCTTCTTTGTCTATAGGTTTGTCTATCAATTTCAATAATTGGCCGGCTGGCCACTAACCAGGAGAATTATCAATGGACGCAACGGCGCAATCACAGCAGTAAACGCCTCTGTGGGCTGATTATTGAAATAGATAGACAAAGCTATAGACAAAGAAGACATAATTTAAATTAATTTGCATAAAAAATTGTCTGAAAATTAGAAGATTCTAATCACAACTTTCCTGATAAATTTGTATTTTATCGGAGGGAATTTGGCAACGCCTGAAGGTCCACATAGCGTTTTCCCTTAATATTAGTGAACCAACCAGACATTAACGCGGCACTGTTTGCATTCAACATTGTTCTGCTATCATCGTCGTCTTCTGTCCGACCTACATCCATTCATCACACGAATCCGTGACACCCCCGCTCCCCCGCTCTCCGACGCCGCACAGTGGATCGAGTCAATAGGAGACGTCGGACAAAATTTGGAAACTTTAAAAGCTTATAACTCCTTCAAATCAAAACTTTGAGATTTTAAAAATGGTTCCATTGATTTTCTCCTGAAATTTTCTTGCAGGCACACCCCTCAAAATTTAAAATGTAACGACTTAGACATCAAGATTTGCAGTTTTAGTAAAAATTTTCATGTCCGACCTCTCTAAATGACTCGATCCACTGTGCGCCGCTTACATTATGAAATGAGGAGCTAATTCAATGATTACTAATTACCTTCGACCTTTTTTTGCCAGGTTCAATGGTCGAATTTTGCATGGACAATCACTTGCGGCGTTTCAAGTGCAACGGCGTTAACTTGGATTACTTGAAAACAGAAGTTGACGTCAAGGATGAGCAGTTTGTGGAGAGGATAAGCTTCGTTCCGTACGGCGAAACCTCTTTCATGGTATGTAAATCAGTGGCGTGGCGTGAATTGCGATGTATCGATTGTTATGCCATTTAAGCCTATGGTAAAGAATCGATTATTAAGGTGTTCGCTGTTCGCTGTGAACACTGTGTTCATCGATCCTTTTCCAAAGGTTTAAATGTAGGATCAATCGATAAATCGCAAATCACGCCACGCCGCTGATGCTCACTGGGAAAAGTAATATACATATTAAAACATACCGACGGTGCTGATTATTGAAATTGATAGACAAAGCGATAGACATAGAAGACATGGAGAGTATGAAGCGATCCTGTTGGTTGAAATGGGTGGTTCCTATTGACTAAGGGAGTAAATGGACGTATTTCTGCCAAACGAAACAAAGTGCCAATTTAAGTTCCTTTTGAGGAATTTAGAATGCCGGATAGCGCGTTCTGTCAAACGGACCTAAGCGCCATAGAAAAGCATTGCGAGTATAGGACGGAATGAGCCCGACGCCCGGTTTCGCCGCCAATCCAAGCCCCCCTCTACATTCCTCACCCTATGGCGCTTAGTTCCGTTTGACAGAAATACGTCCAAATGATGGACAAACTATAGGTCACTTGGATTGGACTCACATCAGGGTGCGACGATAGAATACGATGAGAGTGACTTGAGACGGAAGACAGAGTTACGGCAAACTGGCATCATACTAATTTCCTCTACAAAACTGTTAAGTTAGTGTTAGATTGACGATGTGTCATCCGGCTTACTTATTCTAGACATTCCTATTTATTTTTGTGCTTTATCCTTATTCTAGACGGAGGATGCATTTCTAGAGGCATGTCTCCAAGTCATCCACGAGAACTCCTGGACTCCGAGGACAACCATGGACAACGCTGTCGTCGTGAATGTAGTGAAACCATCACCTGAGCATGATACTGATAGATTCGTTTGTATGCTCAAGGATGCAGCTGATTCACTTTATGATGAACTTAATGTAAGAATCAAATTTAATTCCAATTTGATTTCGATACATTGTAATTTTTTCACCACTAAATTGCAATATTTTTACAGCATTTAGTCAAATTATGCCGATTTTAAACAATTGACAAAATGAGCTCCATGTGTCAGAAAGATAGGCAATATGCAATTGGATGAAAAATTGCAACTTATTCAAATTTCGGTCGCGTGGGTATTCGGCCGGTGGGGATTCGGCCGGTCGGATTTTTCGTGGGGATTCGGCCGGTTTCTGATTTATTATTCAGAGTATGAAAAATTTGGCAACAATGTACTAATGCGAAACAGAGGAATGCTCTTATCATGTTGGTGACATCTCGAGATTGAAATCATGCTTATCGGGGTCTATCGGGGAATTTTTTAGCGACTTTACAACACTCCCTGACGGATCAAATTTTTTAATTCGTGACGACGGTCAAAAAGACCGAATTTTAGTGTTTGGATGGGCAAAATTAATCCAAGAAGTACTATCTGTTAAACAAGACTTTTTTATTGACGGGACATTTTATGCATGTCCAAAACAATTTGCTCAACTGCATACAATTCATGCAAAGTACAGAAGCACCCACCATTCTGTTTGCTGTATTCCTATTTTTTACGCTTTACTTCCGAACAAGCAGCAACGTACTTATCAACGCTTATTTCAAATGTTACACGAAAAACGTGGAACGTTCCAACGTGGAGGCCAGAAAGTTTCTGTTTAGATTTTGAGATTGACATTGAGACATGAGATTTTGACATTTTGCTACAATATATCGAGCACAAGGACCTTAAGAAATGTTTGGACCGGCTATCAACTGTAAATGGACTGTAAATTTGAGATATGTAAGTACACTACGTTAAATAGCTCGTTTCTTGTATACCACGTTTCATTCATGTTTGTTCTATGCATTGTTGCCAAACTTTCCATATTCTGAATAATAAATCAGAAACCGGCCGAATCCCCACCGGCCGAATCCCCACCTAATCCAAATTTCATTGCAATAAGTTTCAATAAATGGGGCCCCCTCAAAGGAGCTAGGCAACGAGCACAACACTCAGCGGAATTGAAATATGTTTACCATACCATTGCTACTTATTACAATCTGTGCTTCTTGGGGAGTGGAAAAGTAGCTGTAGCTGGGACCTCGAAAGCACCATAAGCATTTTGTTAGAGCAACGATTCTTTCTTCCATATGGAATTGTTCTACTCACACTCGAAGGGGCGGAACGCCCGAAAATATCAAATCAAGACGGAGTTGAGGGCCATTTAAGTGTACAGTTGGAAAACGCGATTTCGAGAAAAAAAAAATGTTTAAAATTAAAATCTGGCATGTTAAGGTAAAAATTTTCTGATTACAATGCAACTTTATGCACTCTATTGGCACGAAAATGAACTAACAGTAAGCCAATCCCCACGCTTTCTAATAGGCACCTGAAAGAATTTGCCGTCGAAATATCAAAGTCTTTTTTCCACGCAACGCGACAGAAGTTTCACTCCCAATTTGTTTCCTGTAATTTAGGTTCTTTATTTAATCTACCAAAAAGTGTGCCTCCGTGGGCTAACAATGAGGCCTCTCTTCCTGTCACAGAAGGTGAAAATTGGTATTTTGGTCAAGCATGGTGGTACTAATAGTAAATAAAGAGTCAACAATCACAAACAAACATTTAATCTACTTTACTTACAATATTTTTCTTGAAAATTTGTACAGATTGAGCTGAAGTTTAGAGAGCCGACGGATGAGATTCCAACCTCAGAGACTCTTTTATCAGTCATGTCTGATGTCAATGACAACTTGAAACCGATGTACTTGAATCATACTGGGAACACTTTCATACTCCGTATTTCCCATCTTTGGCAAAAGTTTAGTGTACCCAATGGATCGAAGGAGATTTATGCGGAAAATCGTGCAGTTATTTACGAGCAAACTTTCGGCATAAAGCGACTCACCTTGCTGAAGAAGGTAAGCGCAACATGTTCAAGTAAGCACTTGATAATGCAACTTGAAGTTGCCCATGGCTGAAAGCGGCAACGGCAAACGGACTAGTGGCAAGGCGTGAATGATCGATTATCGATATTTCCCCATTTGAAGCTATGGTATAGAATCGATTATTAAGGGGTTCGTTGCGAACACCCTATTTATCGATCCATTTCCATAGGTATAATTGGTAGATCAATTGATTTTGCGCTATGCTAAGCTGTCAATGCTAAGCTGCACATATTTATGGACGTACTTATGTTAAGCAGAACTGTGGACGAGTGGAAAAGATGGGGGTGTGCTCTAGAAAGCTGCATAAGAAACAATGTAAAAGTTGGCGTGATTCCTTTTTGAAAAATGGAATAGCGGGATTTTACATTAAATCAAACGGAACGAAGCACCAACTGTACGCGGTACTCATGAGCCGTTGGCAGGTGACAAGAGCATTGTGGACAGGGCTCATGAGTTAATGGGGTATCGTTGAGCTCGTCGAGCCCGGTCGTCACCGCTGACGTCACTGGCGCTTAATGATTTCCATTCATTCTTACGGCCGTCAACTAACGAGCACACCCGTTCTTTCCCACCTGTCTCTGGTTTCGTTTAGCATAAATACGTCCATATAAGGAAAACAGGAAAAATAAAAATAAGACTAAAACCTTAAGACCGAAAAAGTCTCAGAATGTTATAATATTCCCGCAATGGACCACTAGATAAGGTACGAATTGCAGCATTCTGATACATGTTTCTTAACCAAAATTTCACGTAAAACACGATGCACACGACGAAATTTACCGAAATGAACTCCTTACGAAGATTTTAATGATTCTCGATGCGTGAATTCAAACCACCCGCTCATGAAAACTCAATGCTCTACGTGATTCACATCGCGTGCTAAACGTTATCATGACAGTCTCTACGATATACAAATCTGGCAACCGCAATCTTGACACTTTGGCTCAGCTGTAGCAAATTGCTTACAGTTTGAACAACACATGGTGGGAATTGAACATTACTCGATTGAGAATCTTGTTGAAACCGTTGTAGTGCGCTATTTGACTCACGTAGACCTTTGAGTTTCTTGTCAGCGGGCAGTTCAAATTCCTCGCGACCAATGTGAAATAAAAACGTTGATATCTTCGTTCGGAGTTGGTTTAAGTCATTTTCGTTACGCGAATCGTGTTTTGCGTGAAATTTTGGTTAAGAAACATGTATCAGAATGCTTAAATTCGTACCTTGTCTAGTGGTCCATTCCGCTTTTTCAATTAGTTATTTTCGTACAACAAAGTTATATATGTCGCCGGCAATTTACAAGCCAGTGGTGAATAAATATAGAAAATCATAAAATTCAAAAATGAAAGGATGAGATTATAGTGCTTATTATGTTGCCTATAATGTGAATAGACACTTTCCCATCTTTAAAAACATGACAGAAATATGCACATTCAGAAGAGAGAGCAGTGAACTCCGTGACATTAGTGGGTTAAGATCAGACAGAAAACTAAACTAACATCGTGACAAAGCGTAGAGTATCACAAAAAATGAAGGCGCTTCAAGCCGAGTTCATACTTTTGAAGACCATAACCCTTAAAAATTGCACTATGCCGATGCGCATTATTGGGATTTAAATACATTGCTAAAGATTGTTAGGAAAACGAAATCTCTCTTTCTCTAATCCAGACTTTGCTCCTTTCCATATTCATCATTAGGTGGGTTCGTTCAAAACTCCGAGTACGTGTCTAGTCACGAAAGACTGGCGTTCAGTTCTAGAGAAACTAAAATCAGATGCAACGCGACCCGGAGATAAAATTCACCTCGTCATCGACGGATCATCGCTTGCACTTCCACTTTTCCCAATGAAAGAGGTCTCGAGAGAACTTTTCGAATATGACGTCAGGTAAGAGATTTTGTTTATATTGTGTACACTCTTTCCATTTCCATTCAAGTATGAATCTCACAGAACATTCGGCGGGCTGAGTGTCGAAATTGATAGACAAAACGATAGACAAAGGAGACATAGGGAGTGTGGAGTGATCCTTTCGGTTGAAAAGTGTGGTTGTTAAAGACAGATCGATTAATGGAGTTTTCGACCGATTAACGGCTTTGCCGATAAATTCACGTCGATAAGTCCACGTTTTTATTTCTTGATCGATTAATGTCGATGAAATCAACACCGGTTTTTCAATAATTTGTCAATCGAATCACGTCAATTATTCATGTTTTTTTCTTTTCTGATCAATTCATGTCGATCGAAATAATGCCCTCCTTTCGCAAGGGAAAGGACGTTCGACCCTCTCTGTTTTATTCATTTTGTTCCTTTCAGGTGTTACCTGGTCTCTCAGTGTAAGAAGTCGGTCCTAACCTCGCTCGAGCGTATTTACCTGAAACAGATTGAAAGAGACGTAGCAATCAATGTGTTGGTGAATGGGCGGTGGGGCTGTTATAGACGGCAGACGATCCGTGAAACAGCTATGACTCGCATTTTCCGTGGAATGTCACGTAGAAACTCCAAACCAAAGAGCCTTGACGTCCGGTATATCAGCCTAGCGGAGACCGACTTCAAAAACTGCAGGGTAAAGTTTTTTGAGCAGTACTTAACTTTCCACGAGAGTAAATCGATGGCCGCGCGAAGTTCGAAACCACTATAGGACCTGTTTACGGGAGAGTATTGCCATCTCAATCCTTTTACTGCGGAAAAAGTGTGCCGCTCTCTGATTGGTCGGCTATCATGGAGCCTCAAAGTTGGACCAATGTAAACTAACCGCAGCCTCTCCACTCCTAGTATGGCTCAATGTAAACAAAACAACAAGATGGCGGAAAAGATCTACAAAGTTCTAGACGTGATCTTGGATGTGATAGAAATTTTTTTTACGTCCAATTTCTGAATTGAGTTCGGATCGAACTTTGATGAATATCTTTGCTAAAAATGAAGCTTTGAGTGTGATTACCGTTCATTTCTCAGCCGATAATACGTGTTCCTTTGGGTCGGGTTTGTTTACATTGAGCCAACTTTGGAGCTCCATGATAGCCTAAAACTGATGAACCAATCAGAGAGCGACACAGAGACTGCAATACTTTCCCGCATACAGGTACTCTCGAAACCACGAATCTTTGTTTGCGACGTTTCAGACTTGGTGCCGTACAAAATTTCGTCTTTGACAAACTAGTTAATGTAATTTCTCGAAAAATTCTCCGGTTTTTTTACGCAGATTATTCTGTGTGAATTTTAACCTATGAATTTGGCTCGTGTTTTTATGAAAAATTTAAAGGGGAGCAAAAATTTTGAAAGTCCGAAACCACGTATCTCGGTTTGCAACGTTGCAGACTTCCTGCGACACACCTTATTTTTTAAATAAATAGAAAACTATTCCACGGCAAATCTTAAAAACTGCCAGAATTTCTCCTCCCTGCATGAAGAAAATTCTGAAAAATATCGAGGAACTGTGCAAATTTTTTCTCCTTTATAGAAATAAAACACGAGCAACGATTTCCAAACACTGCAAACAAGATACGTAGTTGCGAACTTGTACCGTCGAAATGATTCTTATATTAGTAACCGGTCTTGCAAAATCTTACTTAGCGGTATCAATTATTTTTCAATTATGAGTTTTTTGGTGCGAAAATCTTTCTCCTCGTAAACGGTTATGAATGAATAAAATGTTTAAGAGAATCAAATGGGTCACTGAGGACAGATATTTATGAGAAAATACCTGCATGGTATGGGCGGACCCAAAAAATTGGCAACATTGTTTTTCCCCCATTTAAACCTATGTAATCGTATCGATTCTTGTAAAGGCCAGGTGCTTCGACAAGAATCGATTATTCATCATAGGTTTAAATGGAGGAAATCCGGTGTTGTCAAATCGCTGGATCCGCCTCTACATGAATCCTCCTGTATATCTCTCGCAGAATTGACGGAGCCATCGCAAAATCTTTTTGTCCTCAATGCGCTCCTATGCCTCTTTCAACTCATGTAACATCTCCAAATAATAAATCAAATCATTTTCTTTTGATAGGTTGAAAAAACTGTGTTGGATTATTCAGCTATCACATGCGAAGGAGATCGTGTGGTAGGCCTTGCCAGTGGTGACGTCAGAACAAGTGAGATTTCACCAGATCCTGAACTCCAGTGGAAACTGCCTGTCGGTTTTTCTCTAGAGGGGGGAACCACACTTCCATATGCCTTTACAATGGTAATATACATCTCTTGTTTTAATCCAAATCAATAAACTCATAAGTTTCTTCAACATCAATTGGCGCCGAAACTCAAAATAATCACAAATCAACCCTGATATTTTGACAAATAAAGAAGGGAGATAAGTTTCCAAATGAAACAAGCAAAACTAGTCTCATTGCATATTCCGTAAAAAAATCGCTCCTAAATTCTAATTTTTAAGCTTCGAAGAGTCATTTTGCTCCCTCACATATATTCACGGCGAGAAAACTCTAGTAAATATATTACCATCCTAAATGCGAGGCTATATTTTAGGAGGCTAGGATTTCAAAATGCTCAAGTAATTTCGTATTAATCGTTCCTTCATAAACTGCTCCATTTGTGTTTTACAGGCAAATCTCGTAATGAGAGACCTCCCCGATCCAGGGGGCGCCAAGAAAACAGTTCTAGTTCATAGTGGTCATTCACCCATCGGGACGACATGTATTGCCATTGCTCTTAGTGAAGGTCACTCAGTTTACACTACTGTTCCAGATGACACAGCAAAGGAACAAATCTTGCGGAACTTCCCTCAGGTTATCATTTTACTCGAATCCTAATAATTAACATGCATAACTATTCGATGGACCATGGTGAATTGTAGTACACATTAACGTTTAACATTTTGTCACCGAATAGTAATGATAACTCTGGAAAAGGCGTGCAAAGTTCCTTTTCACTTTGTATATTTCACTGCTAGAACTTGGAGACGTCATGTTTCAACTTATTCATCAAACCAATGAAGTAATACTTGACCCATTCCTTATTAAATTTTAACTATAGGCTTATGGCCGCTCCACGGCCACTGGAAATATACTACACGTAAGAAATCGTAGAGCGACCACGTTCAAATTATTTAAGAGATGAATGGATTCAAAAACCGACGGAAGCACGCGAAAGAGAGCGTATTTATCTCTGATTGCAACTTTTTTCCATCACTTTCATGTTTTATCCTTAATCAATAATGTTTTTAAAAGCTACACACAGTTATTCTGCAAAGTTTCCGCGAATTTTCCTAAATGGTCTCAAATAAAAGCATCGATAATTTCGATGCGACATTTTTGCTAGTTCTGTTTTCTTTTAAGGTAACCAAAACAAATTAAATATCATCCGAGTTTCTGAATCGTTACAATGAGGATAATTTAACTACGGTAAAAACCGGAGCAGTTAGTCAAAAATGATTACACGTAGTCTTACAATTAGTTCAGCGGTGACTTCACCGTGTCGCGCGAGCCAGATAGGTGCCAATATGCGTTTGACCGACAGCACTGCGTTTGGTGTATTGCAAGAAGTATTCACGCAGTCTTGTAGGCGCTGATATGCCTGTCACGCCGACCGCACTGTTTGGCGCAATGCGTGAGGTATTCTTACAGTCCCGCAGGCGCTAATATGCGTCTGATGCCGGCCGCACTGTGTTTGCCGTAATACTCAGACTCGCATTAGAATAATCGCGGCATCGAATAATGAGGCTTAAAGGATCCATGTTGTGGTTCAACGCCTTATGAGCATTCCAACGTTGCATCGTTTCCCCCGATGAAATATTTTTTCCGAGAAATGTTAGGAAAGTTCTCTATGTTCGCCTCTTTAAATTGAATGGACCATTTAATAAGGTATGAATTTCAGCATTTTGATACATGCTTTTTCATCAGTATTTCACGTAGAGCACAATTCGCGCAACGAAAACTACTGATCAACTCCTAGCTAAGATACTGACGTTTTTATTGCATTGGTTAAATGGAGATGTTGCATGTGTGAGGGATTTGCGATTTGACCATTGATTCTTATGTAAAAGTTCGCAAGAAACACGATGGTGACACTGGTTTTCTCTGAAATCAACTCCCAAGCTAAAAAGAAGCTCTCAAAGTGAGGCCAAAATGGAGGGGATATCCCACCCTACCCTGAGAGTCCACCTCTACATCAGAACCAACTCTCCATGCAAAGATAGGGGGCAAATACATTGAAAGGGCTGCCAATTTATTTGGGGACCCCACAGCTGAAAACACGGCAACCCTGCTAATGTATTTGCTCCCTATCTTTGCATGGAGAGTTTGTTTTGATGTAGAGCTGGACTCTCAGGGTAGGGTGGGATATCCCCTTCATTTTGGCCTCACTTTGAGAGCTTTTTTTGAGCTTGGGAGTTGATTTCAAAGAAAACCAGTGGCACCATCGTGTTTCTCGCGAACTTTTACGTAAGCATCAAGAGTCAAACCGCAAATTCCTCACACATGCAACATCTCCATTGCCGGGTCACAAGAAAAACGATACCTTACGCGAGTCAAATTGTGTTAATGTCTGTAATATTTCTATATAGGTACTCTACTTTGTACTTTTCTACGATGAATTCGATTGACAACCCACCCAAATTCGATTTCTAGATACCAGAATCACGGATAACCGACTACAACAACAAGAACTTCTTCGTTCCGCTGATGATCGGGACAGGCGGCCTGGGAGCGGATCTCATCATCAGCGATCTCCCGCGGGAGCAGATGATAGCGTCCTGGCAGTGCATCGCTCGCAAAGGGTGCTTCGTGAACCTGAACGAGTCAGTCCTGGCGCATAACGCACCCCTGCCCATGCGCTACTTCGACGGGATGACCGCTTTCTACAGCTTCAAGAGCGCCGATCTCTTGGCGTTCGCCCCCGAGAGGAAGCGACGGCTCCACAAACTGGTCGACGATTGCCTCAAAACGGGGGGGATTGTCAAGATCCCGTATCGAGCCTTGACGGTGAACGAAACTGACAGGTTCGTCATAACTCCTTACATACATACATAAAAGTCGCTCTTACAGCGCTCTCTGGCGCTTTGCGACGCCTACCCGCCACAAAACCCGATCCTCCCATAAGTCATCAGGGAATGGGCACTCCCTCATCTCATCCAAAACCCCCTGTCTCCACCCTTTCACCGGGCGACCCTTTTGTCTCCTCCCAGGAGGAACCCAATCAAGTTCGGAAGAGAGGCTGCCGAAGAAGTTACTTGATTGGGTCGTAACTCCTTAATCTCGCAGGGGAAAAAAAATAAATTGCTCGGACCATTGTATCAAAGAGGTGCTTTTCGGCTTAGAGGACTGAGGGGCCGTCCATAAATTACTTCAACCATTTTATTTCAATTTTTCGACCTCCCCCCCCCCTCTCTCTGCCCCCTAAAAATTACGCAATCCCTAGCGTACCCCCTTCCCCTATTTTGAGAGAAATGACGGCCACTTCCGAGCCCGTCTACTTAAATGAAGGTATGATACCATTATTTGACCACGTGAGAGCTCGTGTTGCCTACACTAAATATTGAAGGCAAACTGACATCCAAGTAGGCTCGCGGAATATCACGATCCACTATTCCACATCTTTCTCATTTCTTACTTCTCTTTTCTCTCTCTTTTTCATTTATACTTTAATTTTTTTCATTTTTCCTGTTCTTTTTCTTCTCTTTGTCCTCAGCTTCTTATTCTGTCTCTTCATTTCTCTTCGATTCTTTTTTTCTATCCATCATCTTCCTATTCTTTTTCTCTTTATTCCTTCCAATTTCTTTCTTTTTTCTCTTTCCTCCTTATTTTTATTCTTCTTCTCCCCCCAATTTTCTCAATTTCCTTGGTTCAAAATCAAGATATGTAGTATCCATTCTTCTAGCGGAATTCGGCCTTTCTTTATTGATATTTTAGTGTGCTCAGACGATATATTTAATTTATCTTTTCTTTATTTTTCTTTTCCCACAGTGTCTGTAGTATAAATCCTACCCTCGGAGAAAAACTGGTGTTGAAATTGTTTACCGGTGAGAAACTCAACGAAGACAAAGAACGCTTGATAGAAAAGTCTGATTCACAGGATGACAAAGGGTCTTCGGTCATTTTCTGTAAGTGTCATCCAAATCATCATCGTATAAATTGTATGGGGTACTTCTTGATGGAAAATTTGCGAGTAAATCAATAAAACCACTTCTAAAACCTCTACGTTCCGTATGAACATCGAATTGAGTTTTTAATGTTTCCACATCTTGTCCGATTCCTCCTATTGACCTGCTCCTTTGAGCGCTGCTATTGAGGCACCTTTAAGCGTCAAAACGCCTTCACTTCCGTGCTTATGCAACACGGACACCCCTGGCGCCCGAATTGTTGCATCCAGGCGTTATGATGAAATTCGTTTAGTATTCGCCGCATGCGAAACTTAGCATTAAATCCTGGTGACCAAAAAAAGCTTTTAAATATTCTGCCGTGCTAAGAAAGTGCGCCGTATGAGCCTTCAGAAGCATGCCAAATTTCCTTCTACAAATCACAAATTAATCGCAAACATTTGTAAATATTTTTCTTCCGATTAATAGAGAATTTTGCTCGTAATTTGATCTGAACATTTTGAAACTTTCAAAGATAAATATTCATAACTTTCTTCAAAAATAGATATTTTCTGAGAGGAAATTAGGCAACGCCTGAAGGCTTATACGGCGTCCTCCTTTAGCGCGGCGATATTTACTTGACATTGTATACACGATTGCCTTCAGGTTCAACCATCCATGAGACGAGCAGCTTGGTCCAATGGTTAATTCAACAAGGTACTAAAAAACTCACGATCATAACACTGCATTCGAACGGTCGCTTGGACATACCCACAGGCATTAAGGACTTCTTGCGAAAACATAATGTTATAGTTTCAATTATACCAGGAGAGAAAGTTCTGCCACAAAATGAATCGGGAGAAATGTTGCGGAAACTTTTGATGACTGAGAGATTTGCCTCAATTTTCACTGTCTTCTTGGTGAGTCTGGCTTTCACCATTTTTTTTCATCTTCACCGGCAATTTAATGGGGCATTATTGTACAAGATGACGGAAAACTGTCTTACGTTTTGAGGGAAGCTCAGCTCTTTTGCATCACTTTTAATACTATTCATGTAGCTCAAATAAAAATATGCTCTAAAAATTGGGATATTACAGCAGAAAAAAGAACAGAACATGCGCAGTATGCCCAATATCTAACTTCTCTAAAATTTATACCATGCCAAGGATATAGTACGATTTTCTTTTTGTTTAGCTTATTATTTTATCAGAATACCTGCTTCGCAATTTTTTTCATTTTAATCGAGATTCATTAAAACTCACTTCCTTTTTGGATCTCGGATACTTTTATTGTAAATAATGTGCGATCTCTTTCGAGAATTTCTACCCGGCGATGACTTTAAGTTTTTCCGTCAAGGAGCTATTACTAATCATGTATAAAAAAAGTTGAAATTTTTTACTTTAACATCCAACGGATCGCTGATCGCTTTGAATTTTCTATTTGGTCTTCGATTAGTTAAGTCGCCATAATTCGATTCTGCTCAGTGTAGCCAACCTGATATCGTGGCATATCTATTTCTTTTAAAAATATTTTTCGATGCAGGGACAAAACACCACCGTCCTTAACTACATCAAACAAGCCATGGAGGAAATGGATCAGCAAATTCCCATCGTTAATATAGATGGTGAGCCTGGAGTTGGTGCGGTCCCTTCAGGAGTAATTTCGTTGGTAGTTAATGAAACTCCTAATTATGGAATGGCTCTTGACCACGCAATGCTGAGTTCCGACACTTCCTCTGTATACGTCGTTTCTAACAGGTCAAGACCTCGAATCAAAAATCATACAGGTATTTTTCCATTTGCATGAATTTCGAATTTGATCGTAAATTTTAGTTACAAATTAATGATATTAAGAATTTAGGTAATGCTTCCATAGGTGTAGCTCTTAAAAGGTTTATGTGACCCTCCCCCCCCCCCCCCACCAGCTTCATTTCGCCCTTTCCTTCGAAGGAAAATTTGACCTCAAAACCTGTAAATTTGCGTGTTCCAATACATAACGATATGAGGAAAAGGAGGACCTTTGAGCCGTATTAAAGGGCTATTGGTATAAAAGTGAATTTGCAGGTGTCTGAAATTTGATTAATTTCGTGTTTACGTGGAAATTACTGAGTAAACTGAACACGAGGATACCCTTGGTTCATAAGTTGAACAATTATTGGAGAAGGTATGACAAAATTATCTAATCTGCTAAAATACGTGTGATTAAATGGAAAACGCCGCCAGATGACGTCACCAGGCGGTGCATTCAAAGGCGGTTCACACTTTTAAATCGATTTTTATAATTTTCCCATATCAGGAAAACATTATAAAAAATACTGTAAAATCAGCTCTTTAAGCACTTTCAGATGAAGCAATAAACAATTTGCATGCGAATTCTCCTTTGAGTCAGCTTGTGTGCAGCCAAAGTTTGCGTTAGGATAGCATTAAAACACGTTTCAAAGGAGGAAAGAGGCTTGACATGAAAATCCTTGAGATTTTCTGTTAAACCTCCTGGAAGAAAAGTAACAGGAAACTTCAAGGAAACTGTCAAAGAAGGGGTCCATAAAATTGTAGCCACCAATGAATTTTGCTTTGTCAAATGATTTATGTGTTTTACATTGTGTGTGTCATCCAGAATCTACTGGGGTTCAAACGGAAAGTATTACGAACTTCCTTCCCTCTTCTGTGAGAGACATGGAGGAAATGGGAAGAGTTTTGGCATCAAGAGACGCCACCTGCAATGCTCAAACTGTGGCTAAATTCATTCCGACCACAACCCGGGCCCCGCTTCTATCAAGTAAATTGCACGCAGACATTCAGCCTTTGTTCATCATCCCAGCTTTCTGCGAAACAGAACTGAGGCCCCTGATCTCTAAACTCATGTACCCGTGTTTCGTGGCTCAAATAAACCCGGATGCAAAATCTGTCAATCAGATAGCTTCAAGCCTCCTTAAGGTAAGAGACAAAATTCTGATAGATTGCTAGACACTGTTTTTCATGACCTCTCGAGCTTGGTAGCAGGAAATTCAGGAGGCTGCACTGCACTGAGGATTGGCCAGACAAGGTCGAAACGCGTCTGCAGTAGGGTGGCCCAATTATACACAGCAAAATTTATTTTGCGAATTTTTTTGGTCTTACCCCCTAGAACTGTTCCATTTGATCAAAAAACACTCTCTGCCAAGTTTCAGCCAAATCGGATAATATTAACCCGGGCCGACAGAGCCATCTTTTTTATATGGGATTTTACATAAAAAAACACTTTTTTCCAGAAAAATCAATTTTTCGAAAAATGTGTAATTTCTAGAAAAAATCTGAGGTCATATTCGGCTTTAGCAGGAAAAATTGAGTGGGAAATCATGTATTGAACACTTCAAAAAAAAATTTTACCCCTCGTTATATCGGCGAAACAACTGAAACATCTAGAAAACGCTAAAACAGGATAAAATGACGGTGATAATATCCCAAATAATTACGTACGTCTGCATCCGAAAACGAAACTCAACATATGGTGGGTGTTTCATGTGTACTTTTTAACGCTGAGTCCGAAGATGCTATCCATCTTTCAGTATTCCGTCAGGATTTTCCGGAAAATTGATTTTCTTGTATAAAAGGAGGGTTTTTCCGTGGAAAAATCAATTCTCAGGAAATAACCCTCAACATGTGACGGGTGTTTTACATGTTTTTCAATGCTGAGCTCGAAAATGACGTCAAAGTTGCTCCATCACATCGGGATTTTCCGGAAAACTCAATTTTCAGGAAATGAACGATCGACTTGTGATAGATGCCTGTTGTTGATGTGTTTTTTAACACCCTGTTTCTACGAGAAAATCCCGATGTGATGGAGCAACTTTGACGTCATTTTCGAGCTCAGCATTGAAAAACATGTAAAACACCCGTCACATGTTGAGGTTTATTTCCTGAACATTGATTTTTCCACGGAAAAACCCTCCTTTTATACAAGAAAATCAATTTTCCGGAAAATCCTGACGGAATACTGAAAGATGGATAGCATCTTCGGACTCAGCGTAAAAAAGTACACATGAAACACCCACCATATGTTGAGTTTCGTTTTCGGATGCAGACGTACGTAATTATTTGGGATATTATCACCGTCATTTTATCCTGTTTTAGCGTTTTCTAGATGTTTCAGTTGTTTCGCCGATATAACGAGGGGTAAAATTTTTTTTTGAAGTGTTCAATACATGATTTCCCACTCAATTTTTCCTGCTAAAGCCGAATATGACCTCAGATTTTTTCTAGAAATTACACATTTTTCGAAAAATTGATTTTTCTGGAAAAAAGTGTTTTTTTATGTAAAATCCCATATAAAAAAGATGGCTCTGTCGGCCCGGGTTAATATTATCCGATTTGGCTGAAACTTGGCAGAGAGAGTTTTTTGATCAAATGGAACAGTTCTAGGGGGTAAGACCAAAAAAAATCCGACATTGCCAAATTTGGGCCACCCTAGTCTGCAGTTGCCTTCCTGAATGGACTACGTAGTGTTGCTCCAAACTGCGTATCTCTTTGAGGGAAATTTGTGCTTGTGTGTGAGCTTTTTCCCTTTGTAATGAGATATCAACTTTAAGCTGAACTTTTTACGCACGTTGGCTAAAAAACTCCAAAATTCCGTCTTACGACCCGTTCGTTTACCGCAATCAGCTTGTGTACTAGACATCTGCACACAAATTAAGCACTAAAGTATGAACTTTTCATAGAAACTTCACTGTCTGACACCGACTAACTAGGAATATCCAACGATTGAAGCGCGCACCGTACTGTACGCGCAATGCGTGAAGTATCCAGCCAGTCTTGTAGGCGCTTATACGTTCCACGCCGCGCCGCCGCGTTGACTGCACTGTATTTAGCGCAATGCGTGAAGTATTCGTGAAGTCTTGTAGGCACTAATATGCGTTTAACGCTGGCCGTACTGTGTTTGGCGCGATTATTCAAACTCAATTTAATGAATTTTCTATTCCATAGAAAAGGTTGAACGTATCACAATTTTTCAGAATAAACTTGTAGGTGAGAAATAAAATGAGAAAAACTTATATAATAACCATCAGATTCAATGGTGCGTAAGACTGAAATTCAAGAAGCGAGAACCAAGGTTTCATATTATTGCAACGTTTCAAAAAAGGTGTTGCTTATTTATTTTTTTCAATTTTTAATGATTGTATATTTCACATAACAATTGTCAGAAAATGTTTGTCATATCACGGTCACGGAAAACATTCCCAAAAAATTTTAACGTTAAATTTTTAGTACATGAATCAATTGGTGAAAAAAAATTTGCAACATTGCGATGCGATTAAGCGTGTTCGGCTGTCACTTCTCCCTGGAATTGCATTTCGTAAGGAAAATGTTGAAATGAGGTTGCAATTATTTTTCTATGTTCTTTTTAACCATGCTGCTGCGATTGTTTTGCATTATTTTATCAATACATGCCGAATTTAAACTACCAGACATAAAATGAGAGGCTTGGAGGACAAGGCGCATAAGTGCAATTTTTGGAAAATTGAGGTTTTTATGATTGCTAGTTAAACTGGTCTCAATGCATATTCTATGAAAAATTTGCATCCAAAATCCATATTTTAAGCATAAAAAAGTCAGTTTGAAGTTTCTTTCCGCCATAAGGATCCATGTAATTTCAAAACTTCAAACATCTACTTCTCAAAACGGCAAAAACTGCACTTATGCGCCTTGTCCTCCAAGCCCCTCAAATAGATTATTTGTATTGCAAAGAAAAATTGCAACTTATTTCAATTTGCACGTAACAGATTTCATTAAGTGGAGCGCCTTCAATTCGTAAATAGGCAACATACACTACACTACGATACAGCATCAATACTTGGGTCACATTTTGCAAAGAGGAACCTGCTAGAGCATTTCGATGTTGCTAGGATTGTGCAACTTACAATCGTTGCAAATAAATTCCTGAAATGCAAAAACTTAAATTTACAAACGTAATTTTCGTCTTGAATTCATAGTTTATTGGGGTGAAAGGAGGAGTAACGTTTTGGGCCTTTTCCGGCCCCACCTGGATTTTGCTAAATGTTTCATATTTTCAAAGTACTAGTCTTAGGTAGACTGTGTGCCAAATATTAGACCGAACGGAGCCCATGCAAGGGCGCAGCAGCGCCTCAAACCCAAAATCCTGGAATCGAAAAACAATTATTTTCGTCGACTTTTTCGACATCTCGACAATCAAATCGACATCTCGGTGAATTTTCACATCGTGGGAATCCAGGTACGACTATGATATTTTAATATGTTGTATGGATGGATAAGAGCTGTTACCTGGTACAATATGAAAGTTGTACTCCCCTTTCTTGAACCTTAGGCGCGGCGATTTATCGATTTTTTGCCGTTTTTGACACTTTGGGACCAATTTTCTCGGAAATTTGGCAACGTAGGAACAAATTTTACTGAACATTTTTTATTCATTTTTTTATTTCCTTTTCAAAAATGTACACTGTTTTTGGATTAAATTGAGTTTTGAATGTGTTAAATGGAAAAAACCCCTAAAAATGGGCCAAAAATGGCAACAATGGGCCATAAGGCCCCTTAAAATTTATCGGAGGCCTTTAAAAAGGCCAGAAACGAAAAGTACGCAAAAAAATACATGATAATCATGTGCTGGAAGAGTGATAACAGTCGAAAAAGTTGACGAAAATAATTGTTTTTCGATTCCAGGATTTTGGGTTTGAGGCGCTGCTGCGCCCTTGCATGGGCTCCGTTCGGTCTAATATTTGGCACACAGTCTACCTAAGACTAGTACTTTGAAAATATGAAACATTTAGCAAAATCCAGGTGGGGCCGGAAAAGGCCCAAAACGTTACTCCTCCTTTGTCCAATTAATCAGCTTATATTTTCAGGATAAAAAAAGTTGCACGATCTTAGTAACATTGGAATGCTCTTGGTTCTTCCTCGCAGAATGCAATCCACTTATGACTTTTGCCATGCAATTGCAATTTATTGCTACCTCTGTTCTCTGAGTTCAGTTGTTGGAAGATTTTACCCTTTGTTCGAAAGAAGTTTGAATATCAGAATAAACTATAAAGTCGCCGAACATGCGCTAGTTTTAACATTATCGCTGCTCAAGTTCTCCATTTTACTAATTTCAGTCGATGACGGAAATCCAAAAAAGTGGGCCCTATTCATTGGTGGCCGAGTCGTGGAATGGTGGATTAGGGGTGGTCCTCTCACGACTATTCTCTGAAATAAACCAAGAGGTCACATTGTTCCTTCTCCAAGGGTTGCCCGACCGAATGCAAAGGCTGCTTCCTGCGGAGAGCACTCAATCCTCTATCGACCAGTTCCTAGCCAAAGTTCTGTTTCGGGTACGCTCCATAAACAATACATTTAGTTATAGAGTTACTTGAGTATAGCTGTTTGGAATGTTTTAAGTCAGTGGGGCACTACTGCCGTGCTAAGGAAGAACGCTGTATGAACATTCGAGAGTTGCCGAATTTCCTTCGATAAAATGGTTCTTTTTGAGGCAAGCTATGAATGTTTTTCCTAGAAATTTTCATGAACTTTTCAAGTTCATATTAGCTCATTTTGCAGCGAGCCCAGAGGGCGGTTTCAAAAGAAATTTGGAGCCATCGATGCTGATGAAATTTGATCAATTTGACGGCTGAATTTAAATAGATGATTGGTAAGACGGACAAAAGCTCCAGAAAAGTTGCGAACTTTAAAATAAAATTCGTCCATTGCTCGTGATCATCGGTTCCAACGGTTGGGTAACCGTTGTAAACCGTTGTAACCGTTGTAACCGTTGTAACCGTTGTAACCGTTGTAACCGTTGTAACCGTTGTAACCGTTGTAACCGTTGTAACCGTTGTAACCGGGTAATATCCGTTGATGTAGGTACCTCAACGTGTTAAAACGTTAAGACAGAATTCTTTTCTCGTAACTTACTCCAAAAAAAAAAAACTTTAACCTCATCTCTTAGTAATTTTTTTTTTTGTTTTGTTTAATAGGAACTGAATCAGTCCGACGACAAACTTACGGACACCCGCACTGCCATAAATTTATTACCAGACGACTACAACAAAATTCATGTACGGAGAGCTGTTAGAACTATTCAGAAAACTTTGCGGTTTTCGATGGATTACGGATCCGTAAATACGCTACAGAGTGAGCTGTTCGTATTCGAGATGGCGCAAACGAACAGTCAGTTAACTGACTCAGATATCCAACAAGTAAGTAAGCAAATATGCGACAGTAATGACCGATGAAATCGAGTGAAGAGGTTGACTCTACATGAGTCTATGGCCTTTTGTAATTTTGGGTTCACATTTTGCCCTCTCTTTTCCTTTAGGAAAAGTGGTACCTCCTCTATACATTATTTTATTCGTTATGGGGTAAAAAAAGATTAAAGAGGGTTGGATCAGAATAGAATGGACGCATAAACTGTCTTAATATATTATCTATGCAATTGTATCAATTAGCACGTCTTGGAATTGCATTCTCTAAACACAGTCTGACACCGTCACACTAACTAACCTACACCGTCGGATAGTTTTCCCGCCGGCCATACTTATCCCCTTGAGACTTATGACTGCAGGTCCTTCTGTGTATATTAATCAGACCAGAGCGAAAGGATATAGGAGAGCTATCATTATCTTTTTACGGAGACGTTTACTGTCTTTTTTCTTGCATTAAAACTAAAATCAATATGAAAATATCTTAAGAATTTGGCTCCAAAAAACCGTAAATATATGTTCCGTATATGTATACCGCATGTTCCTTCGGGAAACATACTGATCAAGAACCAAAATGTTTCCCAACGTGAATTGTTCAGTTCTTTTCAATTTGCCTTCAATTACGTCTGCAGCAATTGTTGTTGCGAATAAGTTGTGCGTGCTGGTTTCAGCTCATTACATACTCGACCCTTTGAAGGCGTTTTATGTGCGCAAGTGGCGCATACTGTTGGAGGACAAACATAGTATGGGTCGGGCGATTTATTCAATGTTTACCTTGGTTATTCTCCAACAGAGTGCGCTACTTGCGGACATAAAACGCCTTCAGAAATTCAAGTATGTAATGAACTGAAATTGGCACGCACAACTTACTCATAACAACAATTGCTGCAGACACAGTTGAAGGCGAAGTATAATATTTGGAATCTTGAAGGTTTGTCGCTGGGAACCAGCTCTTGAGAAACATTAACACATTTCTGTTAGGTGGGAAAGAATTTATTATGCACTGATTTAGTGTCTACGTTCCTCGATATACTATCGATCTCTTGGTCCAAAATAAAACAAACTAACATAACCTCATGTACGAAGCCCTCATGAGTTAATTGTGTTACTTCATTAAAATTTAGTCATTGACCGGTCAAAAATCAATTAAAGACTCATTATACACGAGAACCTTCGATTGTAAGAAACACTTTGGACGCATTTTAGCACCGTGGCGCTAAGGGCGCGCATCAGGAACACGACCTTGTGTTTGTGTACGTTTAAACCAAGGGTTCGATATCATATCGAATGACGCAGCCACTAAATTAGTCTATTTTTAGGAGTTTGGGGTCAGAAATTTGTCATTTTACGTTTATTTTATTGGGTTTCATCCGAGGTTCGCGTAAGGCCTCGAGGGGTAAGACCGCGTGGCCTCTAGTTCTTAAAGTACGTATTTCTTTACTCCTATTTTAATACCCTTGGTTTCCCTTAACAGATGTCTGAGAAAACCACGAAAGTCGTTCGCTCAGACAGGAGAACGTTCAAAAAAATGCTGGCGGACCCTCTCGTGCACTCAACAATCAACGAAGAAACTCCATTCCGGTGGAGCTCCCAGTGATCCGACTCAACGTCATACCTCGTTTTTGGAACCATCTCAGTTATTAATATAATAAGTTATTCGTTTCGTTTAAATTTAAGAATTCCAGCACGACATTTAAAATGAGAATAGCCTATCGTTAGTGAGACTAGAAAAACCATTAATTATGGTGTGCGATTTTGCAGACTTCCTGTTGTACATACTTTACTCTTCCGGGTTGAACATTTGTCCCCGTTGTTATATGAAATTTAGAGAGATTTTTCCTAATACTCGTGGAAATATTCTTAGAAAATTTCATTCTTGTGAAAAAATGAAGTATACGAACAGGAATGTCTAGACCGCGCAATCTGAATCCATATCCGTGTATTTTTAGTGTCATCATCGATGTACTGTCATTTATTCTGTATAGAAATACGACTTTTGTAAAGTTTTTTTTTATTAAAAAAGGAAGAAATAATTGATATTTTTACTGATTAAATTTTCTTAAAAACACTGTATTTGTGGTTTCCTTGTCATTCCCAAATTGAAACCTCTCAATTTTGCTCAGAATAACAATCGCATAAGCCGAAGAAAGAATAATCGCACATCAAGTTGTGTCCTTATACATAGGATACAATCCATTATTGTCTTCCAAATTAAAATTATTAGGTTAGCACACGATACGGCTCTAAACATGGAGTCTGGTGTTGTTTCTCGTGAAGGCAACGCATAACCTGGCCCACACAAGAGCTATTTAAACAGTGTAAGTCGGGTTGCATCTCATATTTTTGAAGGAGTTTCAAAACTGTCACGTAGGTAACGAAATGACCACCACTACCACCAGAGATCAAAGAAATTATGCATGTATGCATTCCTCATGTTTCCTCTTCAAAATTTCACGTGAAACACAATATGCGCTACAAATATACTGAAATTAACTCTTAACCAAGATATTAACGTTTTTATTTACCACTGGTTACGAGCTCGTGACCAAATGGAAGAATATGGAGGTAACTTCACAGATCAGGCTCCACATGGAATTTTGAGGAAGGAATATGATGTGTCAGTGCTCAAATTTGCATCTTGGCTGTTCAGTTCATTAAAAGATGACGAGAACACACATTTTAACTTATATCATTTAATATACCGTCATTATTCAAGATGCATCTCGAATTGTATATCAAGATAAATTTGAAAGCTTTCCTACGCAGTTGTATAATTGGCAAGTAATTACCTAACAATTTTACAACCGTGTAAGAACGCCTTCAAATTTATCATGATACAATTAGAGTTGCGTATTTAATAATGACGGTATATTGAACGATATAATTGAAGACAAATTGAGGCGGAGTTCAACTAAAATTTTATGATAAAAGCTACTGAGCTCATTGAGGAGGGAATTAAGAGGAACTGTCTCTTGAAATATCTTAAATTTCAAAAAATAATATGTGAATATGTGCGAATTAAATGCGAATAATTTATATTGTCTAAAAAATTGAAAAATAAATATTCGCAACTTTTCCAGTAAATTAGTTCTTTATCAAAGTAAATTTCGCAACGCGTTATGGTTCACACGACGTTTTTCCTTAGCACGACAGAATTTTTGACTAAAATGATCCCAATTTTTGCGAGCAATCAAAAGGAAATTCAATGAAAATCTCATGGTAGAATCCCGAACTGTTCACCAGTAAAAAATCAATTAACGAGTAGAGATTCTGCAATTGGACGTATTTCTGCCAAAAGAAACTATGTGCATTAAGACATGAGCCCTAAGACCCATAAGAATACATGCATAACAGGGCTCACGTCATAATGCAGATAGTTCCGTTTGACAGAAATGCGCCCAATTTTGAAATGTAGTCACGTTCTTACTTTTTTCAAAATCCCTTACGAGCATTCGAATGTTGCCAAATTTCCTCTCGCTAAATATTTATTTTTGAAGAAAGTCATGCAAATGTTTCCTTGAAGTTGAAGTTGAACGACATTATCTGAGAAATTGGAGAGAAAATATTCACATCAATTCCAATAAATTTGTATTTCATCAAAGGAAATTCAGCAACGCCTGAAGGTTCATGCGGTGTTTTGAAAATTCGTAATGTATCGTTAATGAGCATTCGAATGTAGCCAAATTTTCTCACAGAAAATATTTATTTTTGGTGAAAGTTATGCAAATTTTCCCTTGAAATCCTCAGATATTTTAGATTTAATTACGAACATAATTGTCTGTAAAAGTGGAAGAATAATACTTCGTCACCTTCCGGTCAAAGCATCTCAAGCGCCATGCGACGTTTCAAAATTACCGCCGCCATTTTATTTTTTATTTTTTTTTTCAGAGAAATTCTTGGTTGAATCTGTTCGAAAATTTCACTGAATTTCATCCGCAGCACAAAGAAAATTCGGTGACATTTTCGGACAGCTTCGTTGAGCCATTTCTCTGTAAAAAAAAAAAAAATGGCGGCGGAAATTTTTAAACGTCGCATGGCACTTCTGCCGTGCTAAGCAAGAACGCCGTAAATCCATCAAGATTTTTCCTCGTTTTTTGGAACTTAACACTTTATAAAATAAAAACTGTTTCACCCATTCATCTCAAATTATCAGGTTAAATTCTTGATAGTATTTGCGAGAGAATTCCGTGAAAACATTATCCTAAGGTACACTAATTTTTCTGCTATAATACATCGTTTCCAAAAAAAATGTAAAATGGCGTTTTTACGTTGCACGGCAGACTTGTGATACTTCGGCCTGCAGCCTGATTGTTGAAATTTTGTGTCTATCCGGTAGACATAGGTTAAAGGGCGGAGCGTGATTGGTCGGCTATGTCTTATCGCTGCTTTAGCGTGTGCCTATGTCGCGTCGGGTGAAATTCTCGACAAGTTAAAGGCACCTCTTAAGTCTCCGACAGTATATCGTCCATTCAACCTGACAAAGGCATGATAAAGCAGCGCTAAGACATAGCCGACCAATCACGCTCTGTCTTTTTAACCTATGTCATCTATGTCTATCCGATAACCACAACATCAACAATCAGGCTGCAGATGATGGTGATTTTCAAATTTTCCGAAAAATTCGAAAATTCATCAAAGGAAATTTGGCAACTTCTGAAAGTCCCTACGGCGTGCCAAGGGAGTTCGTCCACACGGCACACTTAAAAGGCCCACGGTGCGGGACGGCGTGTCGTCACGTTGGACGCTGGCGATTATGTCGCCGTCGCTCGGATGTTGGCCCCTGACCAAGAATATACTCAAGGATGCCTTCTTCTTCGTCGCTTTATTTTTTGATCCCCAACGACTGACACGGTCCCGGGCCCTAAATAAACTCCCTAACTGCTCCATATTTTGTTTATCTTTTACCGTCACGTTACGACGCGGTGCTTCGCCGTCCGCTAAGAGCCGAACTCCGATCGGAAAATCGTATCGCCACCGGACCCGATCTTACGTAAGATCAGCCACCCTTCAAAGGGGGTTGCGGAAGTCTCGTTACGGGTGGTGCAAAGTGATATTTTCCTGTGTTTTTTGGCTTTAGTTTAATTCACCCCTAACCTTCACCCTCGCCGAGATCGAGGTGTGCGTGACATTGTGCGTGACACCTGTGCGTCACGTATTTTGTGGATTTCTTCAATGGTGTGTGTACGGTGCCAGAGTGCGGAAAATGGGTTAACGTGAAAAGGAAATGTATAGTAGTGAAGTGATGCAAGTGGCGCACAGTAAATGATCATATCGGTTGTTTGTTTTGCCTGTTGAGATAGAGCCTCTGTTTGGACCTACCCCTCCGCTCTCGGACCTACCCTAACTGCTGAGCCAAGATCGGAGTTGGAAATGGAGTTCTTCTCGAAATTGCTGAAGATCAGTCGATCGTCGAAGTCACGGTCAAGATCGCCGACTCCAGACCCCCCGGTCACAGGGCCGTCCTCTCCAGTCGCCACTCAAAACGAGGTCAGCCTTCGCGCTTTGTCCCGTGTCCTAAACTAGTTTTCTGTTCGTAGGAAAAGAGAATTATCGGGGGACTCTCCCTTCTCACGCCCTTTGTGAGGAGACTGAGAGTGGGATTAATCTACCTTTTTTCCAACTGGGAAAAAGTACACTGAAAAAAAAAAAAAAAAAAAAAAAAAAAAAAAAAAAAAAAAAAAACTCCGGGCATGGAGAGGGGCGGATCCAGCAATTTGGCTACAACGGATTCCCTCCATTTAAACGTATGTTAAATAATCGATTCTTGTCGGGGCACCTGACCCCTCCAAGAATCGATACATTTCCATAGGTTTAAATGAAGAAAAACAGTGTAGCCAATTTTCTGGATCCGCCAATGGACGTGGAGGCCGTACTTACGGACTGTGCAGACATATCGCCCGCGTTCCGGGCTCAGAGGCAGAAAGTTACGGGCGTAGCGTCCAGAACAATTAAAGCTACGGCTCCAGCCCGGAACTCTCGGTCCCTGAGCCGAAACGGGCGGTACATCTGTAGAGTCCGTAACTTTTTTTTCAGTGTAGCATGATTTAAGCAGAAATTTCCTCGAGCCAGGAAAAAAATGCTTAAATCGAGACGGAAAGAGGCTACATCAAGATAAAAGTCGCTTTTATCAAGCAAAAATTAACCGAATTCAAGCGATTTTATTCTTGGTTCAATAGGAAGTTGTACTGATGGCAAATAATTTATTCTTTACAGCATCGATTCTTCTTCTTCATAACAGCAGTATTTTCTATGCCCCTCTCCTCAGTTTGAACATCGGCGGATCCAGCAAGTTGGCAACATTGTTTTCTCCATTTAAACCTATGGAAAAGATCGATTCTTGGAGGGGCCAGGTGCTCCGACAGGAATCGATTGTTTAGCATAGGTTTAAATGGCGGGAATCCGGTGTTGCCAAATTGCTGGATCCGCCTCTGAGAATAAAATTTCCGCATATGCGCATGTCGTTATACATACTCAATTGCAATGCCTATGACGAATGATTCGTTGACACTGCAATCTACATAGTTTAGGACCAATCCCAAAATAGGACAGTATTATGAAATCAAACCGCGTCGCCTTGGTAGCGGATGCATCTTCTGATTCATACTCCGTTATTGAGATACGCTCTGTCACCGAAGCTCTTAAGGGATTCAGTTATGCACCCCTACTTATGCGAAAGGGCCAGTCGGGGCCTTACATTGAATGCATACATGTTTCATTCTCAAAAATTCCCCTCAATCATGGCGGAAACCATGCGAAGTTTGTGAATAGGTATGCCATTAGGGTGATCCGATGGACGATCCAATTTTGAGATCGCAATTCTGTTGTCAGGAGACTTAAGCACTCACGTACCAATTTTAACAAAGAAATTCAACGTAATAAAGGCGTGGTTTTTTTTAGAGAGAAAACATCGCATTCGATATTGATATCGAAACTACACTCGAATGCGATATTTTCTCTCTAAAAAAAAACCACGCCTTTATTACGTTGAATTTCTTTGTTAACGTTGGTAAGTGAGTGCTTTAGTCTCCTGACAACAGAATTGCGATCTCAAAATTGGAGAAAAATGACGAGTAGCTAAAAAATGGAACCAATGGATGCGATATATCGCATGCCTTTCTGACACAAAATATGGCGTCCATCGAATCACCTTAAGCAAGGATGTATGTATAAATCACTTTCACGGCGCGTTAGGGCGCTCTGCGACGCCTACCCGCCAAAGGAATCTGTCATGGTAGAGATCCTCTGGAGGTTTAAACCAAGATGATAGGTGAAAATCCTCTCTATTCTCATAAAATCATTCTTAAGACGCTCGATAGACGGGGTGAAGAAGGAGAGTAAGACGGTCTAAAGGTCGAATTCCAAAGAAGGAATCAAAATTAGGAGTAAAGAGAAAGTCATTAAGAATATTGTTTGGCGGGAAATTTTTCTTCGAAACATCGTTTTGTTATTCAATTAAAATTATTTGCTCACTAACCGCCGACGGGCGATTTCGACGATTTCGCTGGCCGGGGGTCGGGCCGCGTAGCGGCAAGGGGGTTGGCCGCGTCTATACGATGTGCATCAGTGTCGAAAGAAAAATTTATGGAGTATATAATATTACTGAGATGAGACAACATTTCGCGGAATATAATAAGTAAGGTAGTGAAACTTGGCCTTGAAATAAAAACAGAGGGGGTAAATGTTAGTAGACGTAGTGCTCAGATATTTGACATCGACAAAGAGTTTGTTCTCCTTAAAATTTAGTTTTCTCATCTGGTCCCATCGTCAATTTCCCCCAAGCTGATGCCAAAGACGACGATTTAGGAGGAGAGCAGAGCTACAAGAAAATCATGCTTGAATGACTTTTCAACTGGCTGAATATTAACAGATGTATAACTCACGCGCAGTTTTGGCAGCGGTCGCGGGTCGTGGGTCATAACTCGGGATGGGTTAACCTCGCCGATCAAGCGTCTCGTCACCATTTGAGAAGTTTCAATAGGCGCCATATTAAAATCATTCAATCTGAATGGAGATGTTGCATGTGTGAAGAATTTGCGATTAGACTGTTGATTCTTACGTAAAAGTTCGCGAGAAACACGATGGTGCCACTGGTTTTCTCTGAAATCAACTCCCAAGCTCAAAAAAGCTCTCAAGTTGAGGCCAAAATGGAGGAGATATCCCACGCTATCCTGAGGGTCCATCTCTACATCAACACAAACTCTCCATGCAAAGATAGGGAGCAAATACATTAGCAGTGATGCCGTGTTTTCAGTTTTAGAGTCCCCAAATAAAGTGGCAGCCCTGTCAATGCATTTGCTCTCTTTCTTTGCATGGAGATTTTTTTTTTTTTTATGTAGAGTTGGACTCTCAGAATAGCGTAGAATGTCCCTTCCATTTTGGCCTCAAGTTGAGAGCTTTTTTTGAGCTTGGGAGATGATTTCAGAGGAAACCAGTGGCACCATCGTGTTTCTCGCGAACTTTTACATAAGAATCATCAGTCAAATCGCAAATTCCTCACACATGCAACATCTCCATTCACATAGCAGTTTCGATTACTTAGAGATTCGATGGATTTACACACATTTAGAAAACCCTTATAAAATGTCTTGAATTTTAAGAATTGAATTGATGAATCACCGCAAATCGCAATAATAGAGAGTTTGCAGATGGCTGAAATTTGATGAATTTCGTGTTTAAGTGAAAACTACTGAGTGAACTGAACACGTGGATACCCTTGGTTTATGAATTGAACAATAATTGGAAAATATATGACAAAATTATCTAATCTTCTAAAATACATGTGTTTAAATGGGAAATTCCACCAGATGACGTCACTAGGCGGTGCATTTTCTCGCTTTTAAATTGATTTTTATACTTTTCCTATATCAGAAAAAAATTATAAAAAATACTGTGAAATCAGCTCTTTAAGCACTTTAAGAAATTATGAAAGAGCAAACATAAATGTGGTTAATGATTTTACCTTCCGCCGTCGCCGCGCCGACCGCATTGTGTTGGAGCAATGCGTGAAGTATTCATGCAGTCTTATAGGCGCTATGCGTTTCACGCCGACCGCTGCTGACCACACTGTTTGGCGCAATGCGTGAAGTATTCATGCAGTCTTGTAGGCGCTATGCGTTTCATGCCGATCACCGCGCCACTCCGTTCCAGGTTAAATTGCGTGTTTGGTTTCTCTTAACTCGACTGATTAAAGGTGTTGTCTCTTGTATCACCGAAAGCCGACAAAATTAGAAATTAGTATACTTTTACTCTAAGGAAATGAGAGATTTTGTCGTCTCTCCTCGCTTGTAATTTATTTTCTGCATCCGATTTTTCCTCTCTTTTTTTGATACCTACATTAAAAAAGATTGCAAAATTTGCTGCCCCCTTCATTTTGCCGCCATGGGCCGCGGCCCATGTGGCTACCCTCTTAATCCGGCCCTGCAGTAAATTCAACACTTTTCCACGAGTTTTTGGAAAATGCTCTCTAACAGCTGAGGAACTGGCATATTTGCGATGCAGAGAGAAACAGAAGAAAAGTGTAAACTTTACATCGAGTCTTTAAGTTCGAAATAAGTTTCAATTAATGTTAAAAAAACTGAAAATGAATTATGGAGGTCAATTTTTTCCTTTCTTTTTCTAAAATATTTGGCTCAATTCATGCAGAATACTTCCAGAATGTCTAGTCGCAGAGAATCCTCATGGGAAAATAAGAAAAAGGGGAATTAAAAACCTTTTTAATCTTATTTTTTCTTTCTCTCTACAGGCCGTGAAAGAATCTACATCAATCAAAGAGCGCATCAAAGAAGATAATAAAAGGTAGGAAAATCTGGACGCACGCATATTGCCCGATAACAATGTAGCATTTTGCCCATAAAGTACACTTTCCCATTGACATTATTTTCAAAGATAGACACACTGTCATCAATAGCAACACCTATGAGCAGGATGGAAAAATTACATGTTTCCACTTTTTTTTACACGTTGAAGATGTATTGTTATACTTTAAGGTTGATGGAGGATAATCGGCCATTATTATTCAACGAAATTTTGTAAGTTGCTTTTTAAAAAATCTCCTTTGAGACTTCCACGATGACATACGAAGACCCTTGATAGACTCTTAGTGAGGTATAGCGGTAAACGAAAAATATCAGAATAAGCTATAATAAAAGTGTTAACGGAAACTTCTCTTAAGTTATGTTTTTCCTCCTTTTCATCTTTGTATTATTTATGTTTCAGTAAAGAAGATAAGAATCATCAGAACTATGAAAATTGTTTGAGACCGAGTAGAGAAACTAGAAAAATTCAAGGTAAGTGAGCACATCCTCCGACTATAAAATCAATATTCTTTTCAAAAATACATTCACCACTCCAATTTGCGGCCAAGTACCTACTCTGCGAACAGCTGTGAAGTTCAAAGCATGCCCGTACCAACCAATGAAGTTTCTTTTTAATATCTCTTTAAGTTCCCAGCAAATACTGAGAGTGAGATTGAATTTTCCACAAAAACGGAGCATTTACTCTTACGTAAAAGAGAAAAATTCTGTCTGCTAGACCCAAACTCTCCACCTAGACCGACCCTGGTAAAAATTGGCAGTAGAATCTGTGTTCCAAAATACCATAGACCTACGGCCGGCTGTAATATTTCCAATAGCTTCTATAGCCGGCTACACAATTTCTTATAGCCTTTTATAGCCGATGGCGATTAAGCAACTCACAGCAAGGCGATAAAGTGTATGCTAAACGTCACTAATTACTTACAGCTGCTAGGACTTGGTGAGTTTTTGGACCACTGCTCTCTTTTTGGGCCTTAGTATCTCGATTTATTTTGCGAGGAAAGCTCCGTACTTTTGAAGGATGCTTGCCATTCCTAATATATTAGAGCGCCTTCAGTTTCGTATGATACTGTGCAACACCTCTGGTGTGAAATAGTTGCTTCAAGCGCCGCCGTGGCACGCTGCGGTGCGCCAGGCGGGCAGCCAGCGCGAAACGCGCGCCTACAAACCTAACAGGGATACTTCACGCGTTGCGCAATGCGTGAAGTATTCCTGTTAGGTTTGTAGGAGCCAGTTCGTCGCCGCTCCGCTTTGTGTTAGGTTCTAATATTTAATCTGGCGGAGTCAGCGTTATTCAACTCATGATTTTGAAATGTTTGCACATCCTGTATGGATTATTCTCGTTTTAATTGATGAAAAAAATATGTATTAAAGGAAAATATAACGTGTGTTTTGTAAATATTAAGGTGGTTCCGTGTCAAACTTAATAATTTCCAAAGCACACGAATTTCCACACAATTTCTTATAGCCTTTTATAATCGATGGCGAAAAAGCAACAGCCAGGCGATAAAGTGTAAAGCCCGGGTATAGGAACTATAGCCCGGCAGCATAATTTTTTATCGCTTCGTAAAGCCCGGCCGTATGATTTTCTCCGCATTCTACAGCCAGCTATATGATTTTCTGTAGCCTTCTTTAGCCGGCTATAAGAATTCCTATGGTATTTTGAAACGCAGCTCTTACCGCCAATTTTTACCAGGGGAGTCCTATTTTGCAGAACTATTGCATCAAAATTACGGTCAAAGATGCTGTACCTATTTAATAAATAAGACACAAAAAGCCAATTTAAAGAGTTTTTTAGGATAATTTTGTATGGCTGTAAAGTTTCTACGTTAAGTCTACCAAAAATATCAATAATTTTCCCCTTCGATTCTGTTCATAGCTGCCCCGTCAAGCATTGGTGTCCAAGAAAAACACACGTCTACTGTCCATGTCCAAGAAAACCACATGGCTAGCGTTCATATTCAGGAGAGGCACCCTCATTCTCCCGGAAATACTCCTCAATCCGGCTTAGATGTAAAACACGATCATTTTAGCAACGAAATCTTCATTCAACCAAGGAATCAAAGTCCGCAAATTTACGATAGCAGTAGAGTTAGGCCACAATTATCCTCTTCGCATCCAGAATTGAGAACTAAACAATCGCGAGAAATGACTCCCAATTCACCACCCCCAAAGGACACTATTAAGATTCGAAGCAACTCATTAGAAGCGGAAGAAGCGGTCAACGCAACTAAGAATAATATTGAAGTGTTAGCTTACCTAAAAAAATCAGAGCTCAACGATAGGCATAAGGAGAATATTGAACGCGTCAAACTTTTCCTCGCAAGCAATTCAACGAACAATCAATCACTCAGTATTAAAGATACTGAATTTTCAACCGGAGATGGACAAAATCTAATTGCGCCCTCCTCTCATGTTGCAGCTGGGAAAAATGTAACATCTAGTAACGTTTGTGCCACTAGTTTTAGGTCAACAAGCGGCTCAAATATTTCACAAAATCGAAACGATCTTGCTAATTCAAATTCAATAAGTAATGCACATCTCATATATCCATTTTCGCGTGATAAAAGTAGTTTCGAAATTGGGAAGTCTTACTCGTCTCCCGCAATACCAACCACTCTTAGAAAATTAGAATCCTTTCCTTTCGCGAAAGCTGGGAATTCAGCCACGAATCTTCCCGAGGTGTTTAACCTATCTAACTGTGATTTTAGTAGCTTTGATGAAACGGCCGAACATCGATCCTGTAGGTCGTTACCTCCGAGAAACTGTGTTCGTAGTTTGTCTTCAAGAACAAAGAAACTCACGCGGCAATCAGCGACAAATTCTTTTGGGGACTCTGATAGTGATGAAGAAATTGAAATTTTAGGAAAGTGCTGCCCTGCTGAGTCTAAACAATCAACCCTGAACTTAGGGCGAGATCCAAAAATAAAAGAGCAAGGTCAAAGTGACAATATCTTTGGAGCTGAAAATTTCGACTTAAAGACGCAGCCTAAATCAAATGTATCAAACAATGCTGAAATTATTCTAGACTCCTCCGACATGCATCCAAGTATTACTACTGCATCCTCTTTTACAAGCGGAAGTACGCAAATAATTGATTCTCGGAAACTTATTTTCGATTGCAACTTTGAGGATACGCTAGGAATCAAAGCAGTCACACCAAAAAGTAATGATTCCGGTTTCTGTGAAAGCACTGATAGCTCAAAGAATATAATTAATGATGTATATGAGTCTAGTCAGAGCTATGCCGTGCATTCAAGTGACACCGGACAATCGAGCTCTTTGATAATTGGTACCTCAGCTTACGATGCAAGTGAAGAGACTGTTGAACAAAAGGTCTCGATAAAAAAGGCTGATTTAGCAAATGACATTTTTGTTGCAGCAAGTACGTCAAGAAATACTGCAGACATAGATAGTCATAGCGAAACCTCGTACACAGCTGGGACTTACGTAGAGAGTCAACTCCTAGAAAACGACCACAAATCGATCTTGTCTGATGCAGAGGAGAACGCAAAAGACAAAGGTGAAAATTCCAGCTTCATGAATATATACATGAAAGGAGAAATCGGCGATTCGGTCAAAATAGAGAAGATCGGTGATATGTTCATTTCAGATTCGAGCCGAAAAAGTTCGTCTCAAAGTTTAGCGGACGAACTGGAGGGTTATGCGAGGGAAAGTGACATCGATTTTGAGAGCGACAGCCTGGAGGGAAGTGACGAGATGTCGGGGAGTGGCTCCGAGGATGGGTTTGATTTCGAGATTGAGTTCGTGGACGACATAGAAGAGAGACTGAAGGATAACCGAAGCACGGCGACGCCCAGCGATAAGATCCAAGAAAGCTTGGGGAAGCTTTTCAATACCCTCCAATACTTGGACGATGACAACGAGGAAGACTTCGTTCGTCATCACGAGACCGAAATCGACATCCACGCTCCTGCCGAGTATCTGACCGTCCAAAAACCGCGAACGCGAAAACGGAGCTTGCGAATCCGTTTGAGTCCGGTTATTGAGTTGCTGGACGAGTCCGTTAGTCCCACTATCCTTTTCGACTTTGGCAACAAGACGTTCGATGACCAAACTCACCGCAATAAAAGCGCCATCGTACCGTATGGAGATGCATCCGTTAGTAGGCAGAATGAGGACTCTTTCTCAGAGCATTCGGAAAGTTTGAGTGGCAGTAGTATCGATAATCAATGGCAGAATACCACTTCTTCGGAGATCCCTTCGACTTTATGCTCCTCGGGGCAATTTCAAATAAAAATCGACCCTCCTAGTAATAGTTTAGATGATGAAATTTCTTTCGGTATTCAAGGAACATCCGGCATTTCTTCTAATGATTTTGGTGAACAAATTGAGACGCCAGAAGAGGAGCTGAAGAAAGAGATGAATAAGGTATGTGTGGAATCGTCTTCAAGGGAAGAAACGGACAAAAAGCACGAAAGTATTAAGACGGAAAAGTTCATAGAGGAAGAGTCAAGAAAGTTAGTGGTGATGGAACAAACTAATTCTGTTCAGAGTACAATAATTGATGGAGCCAATTCCGAGCTATTTCCATCATCATTATCGTCATCTAAGGAAGCAGCTGCAGAAGACTCAGAAAGGGTTTCAACAAACACTAGGCCAGTAGACTTTGCTGGTGACTTTGCTCACTCGATAGAGGGAGAGGAATGTAAAGCTGAGAGAGCAGAAGGAATTGGCCACGCTCAAAATCAAAACGGATGTTCTAGTAAAGTCGAGCCTGAAAGACCAGAGAGTTTGAAGGAACTATGCGAGGCGACCATATATGCTGATTTTGAAAATCGAAATATAGAATCCTTCAGTCAAGAAAACAACGTCACCTCGAACGAAAATAGCAGTGCAAATTTGTGTGATATGATGTGTTACAAAGAAAAAGACAAGAACGCAGAAATTCGAGGACGACTCGAAAGGAGAGGGAATGCTGTGAACGCAGACAGACAAGATGGGTCCAAACAAATGTCCAAAGAACTATCAAGAGATCTAAGTAACATGAGCTCAAAGGAAAGCTGTGATAAAAGTGATAGTGATGAAATACTGTATCATTCCAGACATAATGACAAAATAGAACTGAGCAAAGTAATTGGTGAACGGGGTTCGGCAAAGTCCACGAATGAAACAAGCTCTGTCCTTGGCGAAGAGCCATCAGGTTCTCATTCCGACAGGATCTATGATTGCCCTAGCAGAAACGATATACCTCAGGTAGTTGCCTCCTGCAGTAGTAGCATCAATTATAAGGGGGAAGACATTTTTCCTGAAGTTCCCTCTTCCCATAATGATAGTAACGAAAAATGTGTAGTCGAACATCAACAAGACTCTATAATATCGGATATTTCGTGGAATTTCAACTCACGGAAAAAGCAGAGAAAAATCGAGGATAAGTTTACTGTGACTCTTGTTCCTGAGAGTGAGAGCTTTGATATCGAAGATGTGCAACTCGACATTCCATTACTGACGGCTACCGAGTGGGAACAAACCCGTGGTGGCCAGTTGGATACCTCTGATACTGTGCTAAATGAGCCAGGCTGCACATTCACGGACTTACGGATACCAGATCTTATCCATCGAGATTTGAACCCTTCGCCATCGTGTTCGAAAGAGAGTGAAAATAACAGGATAGCGTTTACCGACAACGAGACAAAAATAAACTCCTCAATAAATTCTTCACGCGAAGGTGGAAAGAAAAGTGAAGAAGAAGTCATGCTAAGAGAGGACATCATGAACCATCAATCAACTGAGGAGATTCTGAAGGTGGGTGCAACCTTTGTTCTGTGGTTAGAGGCGGGGTTGCAATTTTTCATGGAAAATAACATTTTGAAATTTCACCTGAAATATTTCATGAAAATTCAGAAATTTATGAAAAATATTGAAAAATAGCAGTTCTTTCCATATCTCGCAAAATGTAAAAATTGTGACTCTCTTCTATTTTTATGTATTTGAGCGCAGGTTGCATACTCTAACCCCTGAAAATTATGTAATTTTTCACAGTCTCGTGAAATTTCATGAAATATTTCACGGAAATTTCCAATCTTTCATATTTTTCATTTCACGCGTGCAACACTGGTTAGAGGTGTCGGTGGGTGCAACCTTTAATATGTAGTTATAGGTGTCGTTAGCTAAAACTAGAGGGCTACGCCCCCTGGCCGCTACGCGGCCCAACCCCCTGAAGGCGCTCCGCGCCATCAATGGGCCGCTTCGCGGCCCTATTTTAACCCTCCTTTCAGTGTTAGTTTTATTTTTCCCCTAAAAAATTACGATATGAGGTATACTTTAATTTTAAACTTTACTTAAAAATACTTTAAAATTAAAAGGACGCGTTTTGGAATGACTGCTTGATGAAATATTGCAGTAAAACATTGAACAATGATAGTCAGGTAATAATTAAGATTTCATGAGTCGGGGATCGAACCTACACCGAGTTCAAAGTGGACGCATTCGACGTCTTAGACGACTCGGTCACCGCTCGACGTGAGGGATTTGGTGCGAATCTTGTGTACGAGGGGCGTTCAATAAGTAAGTATCCCCCCTCTCTAAAATCAATAAAAATGGACCAATTTTAAAAAAACTTGGGCTCAAAATCTTCTTTAAGATATACTGAGTTCAACAAAACAAACCGCAACAAAATCGGACTATATGCGGCCGAACGCGAGCCGTTTGAACGCGCCGAGGCGCTCGACGCTCCCGCCGAATCCGCGGGATTTGAAGTCCGCGACAGGAGAAGAGCTTCTCTGCCAAAGCCTCAGTCGTTCATCACTGACGAAAAATCAAAGAAGTTTTTGTAGAATAAAGGACTTACCTCACTTCTCCACATAACCAGCTCGATCCAAGCAGGTCTGATACTGAGACTAAGAGAACAGCTTTTGGATGCCACGCGCGTAGAAGTCTTTCAGCTGACCGGGGATGAAAGAGTGGACGGCTTGTTTGACCTCTTCCACTGATTCAGAATTAACTCCTCCGAGTTCATATTTGAGATACGATACTAAATGGCAAACCGGACCACCATTCATTCCCGTTTCTGAAATCTGAACTCGGGGGAGTTAATTTTGAATCAGTGGAAGAGGTCAAACAAGCCGTCCACTCTTTCATCCCCGATCAGCTGAAAGACTTCTACGCGCGTGGCATCCAAAAGCTGTTCTCTTAGTCTCAGTATCAGACCTGCTTGGATCGAGCTGCTGGTTATGTGGAGAAGTGAGGTAAGTCCCTTATTCAACAAAAACTTATTTGATTTTTCGTCAGTGATGAACGACTGAGGCTTTGGCAGAGAAGCTCTTCTCCTGTCGCGGACTTCAAATCCCGCGGATTCGGCGGGAGCGTCGAGCGCCTCGGCGCGTTCAAACGGCTCGCGTTCGGCCGCATATAGTCCGATTTTGTTGCGGTTTGTTTTGTTGAACTCAGTATATCCTAAGGAAGATTTTGAGCCCAAGTTTTTTTAAAGTTGGTCCATTTTTATTGATTTTAGAGAGGGGGGATACTTACTTATTGAACGCCCCTCGTACACAAGATTCGCACCGTGTAGAGCTGATGCGCAGGCTACCCAGCTACTGCGCAACCTCCTCGACCATTGCGCATCCTCCCGCGCATAGCGGTAGCAGTACCGGAGCATTCTGTAAACTCACTCACTTTTATAACGTGATTTTAAAAAGACCTGGGTCCTTTTTCCAAAATCTGATTGCAGTGGGCTCATCTAGGGCCTATTACCTGTCGATTTACGCAAAAATCATGGAAATCGGCCCGGTAGAACGCTGGAACTAAGCGTTACCAGTTTCGCAAAATTAGGAGGTCTTGGAGCTTATAGTATAGAAGATAGCACCTTTTGGACGCTTCTGGCTCACCAGATGCGCTATTTCTAGCCGTTGGACTTCTCATTGTAACATGTTCAAAAGGCCAAAAGGCCTCAAGGCCAATCTCATGGGGCCAAAATGCTATGGTGGGGCTTTGAAACAGCTGTGAAGCATGGACCAATGAGCAAACGCAATTTCTGAAGGCGCCTCCTCATTCTCTCAGCTATGAGTCAATTTTTTAGTTAAATATTGTAGTTTCTCTCATCATAATAGCGCCCCTAGCGTGGCGAAGTGCCTCCGCGTCTGGTTCAAACGCCGCACAGTGGATCGATTCAATGGCAGAGGTCGGACATGATTTAAAACTTTAAAACCGTATATCCTCAATATGAAACGTTGACGTGTTAAAAGTAGTTTCATCGGTTTTCTCGTAGAATTGCTATGAAAATCACCCCTTAAAATTAAGATGGTGACGAGATAAACATAAAATTTTATGATTTTTGTAAAGTGTGTCTTGTCCGATTTCTTCCAAAGACTCGTTTAACTGTGCGCCGGAGGTCGAGGCTCGACCCCTTGCCTGGAAGAGTTTTTATTTATGTTTTATTTGACTGAAAAAGTTTGGGCAACTATATTACTTCCTTCCGCCACTGAGAAAAACGCACTCCGACGCAATTGCGTTGGAACGTCTTGTTTTACATTCTGCTCGCGAGCGACCAGTGGCGTGGTGTGAAGGATCGATTATCGATATATTTCTCCATTTGAAGCTGTAGTAAAGAATCGATTATCAAGATGTTCGTTGCGCACACTTTGATAATCGGTCCCTTTCCATAGATTTAAATGGCAGATCAATCGATATATCGCAGAGCACGCCACGCCACTGCGAACGGCCGGAATGTGATCGTCCAATAGCAGTCGAGAGTTACCCGCGGCCCGATCGTTAGCGTAGTTAATCCTCGATGCCTATTCTGCCGTGCTAAGGAAAAACGCCGTATGAACATTCGAGATTTGCCAAATTGCCCCGGATAAAACGTACGTTTTTAAAGAAAATTATGCATATTTTTCATTGAAAGTTTCAGACATTGTAGATAAAATTGCGAACAAAACTGTCTGAAAAAATAGAAGACAAATATTGACGATTTTCCTAGTTATTTAGGTTTTTACTAAAGGAAATATGGCAGCGTCTGAAGGTTCATACGGCGTTTCTGCTCAGCACGGCAGTATTGGACGACTGCAACGCAGTCGCTCGCAAACGGAATGTAAACAAATGCCAATTTAGCTGACGGGCCAAAATTTAACGTGGGTGTAAGTATGCCGAGTCTAAGATAGTTCGACGACTTTGAAATTGACTGCATTTTCCTTTGAGGATTTATTTTCACCGTGAGGCTGCATTAAAGTTTCATGACGCTTTGGAGAGGTGTAGAGACAAGGTGGCTTATACTGCCGTGCTGAGGAAGAACGCCGTATGAGCCTTCAGGCGTTGCCAAATTTCCTTCAATAAAACACGAATTTCCCGGTAAACTCATGAATATTTTTCTTCCAGTTTTCCAGATAATATTGTTCGCAATTTCACCAAAAGTTCCTGAAAATTTCAAGGGAAAATATTTATAACTTTCTCAAAAATAATCATTTTACCGGAGGAAATTTGGCAACTTTCGCATGTTCATACGGCGTTCTTCCTTAGCACGGCAGTATATTAAAAATGTTCAGAGGAAGATTTTATACTTCTCATGAAAAGTTTATTTATTTGCCTGCGTTGCAGACCACTCGGCTTCACTCTATTAAAGTCGATCCTTTAAAAGGCTCTTATTTACTCCGTTGTTTCACTTTCATTAAGAGTCCATGCCAAATAAAGTTACGCGCTTTGAAACTGCAACAGGGGATTGTCTGACGTCACTTTCAGATGTGAAGTAAATGGAAGAATCAAGATTATGGATCTTCTGTTGCTGTCAAAAAGTGCGTAAACTAATTTTGCGAGGATTCTACCATTTCTTTTCCTGGTGACAAGGCAGGTGAATGAATTAGTTCAACAGCCTTATACTGCACTGTCAGATCCTACTAGACTCCTTTTAGCCCATTTCTTAAGGGATACTAGTCCATACTCTCCCTATATAGGTACTCCAGGCAGCAGTGTTCGAAACTCATCACCTTTGAGTTTTAGGAGCCTTGTGGCGCATCAAGCCCGATTTTTAGGAACCATTGAAGATTTTTTAGGGGCCAAATTGACTTTTTGCCCATATATTACGGTGCATTTAGTGAAAAGTTAGACGGAAGATGTTTTCGTAACAGAACTAGTAAGTAGGTGTAACTTGGGGAAGACAAAAGCACTAAGAATGGAATTGTGAAGAATAGGAAAAGAGAGCTTTCACTTGTAGTGCTGAAAATTCTGAGTTTTTTCAGTTCAAATAGATTTCTTTTTCTTCCCTTATTGACTTCCTGTGAAAATCCAGATTTTAAGGGGCCACGTTGGCGCAAAGCCTTCATTTTTTAGGCGCCATGGCTGATTTTTTAGGCGCATTTGGCGCGTTGGCGCCTGTTAGCTTCGGACACTGCCAGGCAGATTATCAGACTAGGTCGGCCCGACGAGTGTATAGTCGGTCTTGTGGCACAATAACTCACTTTCATGAAAAACAGTTTTACAAGAGCATTATCGTCCCTTTTTAGCTTTTGCACGCCAAAGAGGATGAAGTACGAGCTCTGGGAGAGCGAATGAAACAAAAAGAAGAAGAGCTGCAAAGGCTAATGGACAGCAAACGACACTTGGAGAACCTTCTCGGGCATAGTGGTGATAAGCTGAGCTTGGTTGGTACGTCAACATCAGGTGCTCAATCCGGGCTACCTACCACTGATTCGGACAAATTGAAGTAAGAACTCTTAGAGTAGCTCTTCATTTATCTCTTAATTAAAAAAGACCACTGAATACACTTAAAATCAAACATTACGTGTAAATAAATTAGTGCTCAAACATTCAATGTCAGTTATAAACCGGTAGGTACCTCAGAAGTATCAAAAGTTCAGCTATGAAGCGTTTCCTGCAGGGAATCGTCGAGTATATTCTGCAGTACCCATAACGAATAAAAATGTAAAAGACATGAAAATAACGATTATTATTGAGATTACCTGCGTAAAAGTGATGCTTTCATCAAGTTGTATGATTGTTACGGGACAGTATAATATGACAAAAAATTGTCATTTCTTGAACTAGTGAGTCCTGAAAATTTACTGGACTGATTTTTCGAAGTCTTTTCCCCAGGTAATACGTTTAAACAAACAAAGAGTTATTCGGAAAATTGACAATGTTGTGATTAAAATCAGTGATGGTTTACTTCATCGTCAAATAAGCAATGCTAGAATTAAGTGCTAGAATCAAGAGTGTCAGAGAAACAAGCAAAGATCCCTCCGTTCGTGTCGAGTGTGATAAGTACAAAACGAATATCATTATTTCAACGCTCAACGCCTAGATGCAATTATTCGGGCTCCACGGACATCCGTATTGCATATTCACGAAAATGAAGGCGTTTTGACTTTCTAGGCACTCGCCGCTTCTGCCGCGGTGACCGCCGACAGTGTGCCTTACTGCAAGGATTCAACATTACAGAACGCTTGAAAGTCTTCGTTTATACAAAAAAGGTATCTTACAGACACGAATATAGATGCGTAAGTGTAGGATGTTAGTATCTTTTTTACTTCAGTTTCAATGTCGCGAGGTGCTTCATATCATTTGTAGATCAACTTTTCATGCCTAAAAAATGTCTTAATACTATAAATGAAGAATTTAAGGGGTTTTTTTTATCCTTGCAGTAAGGCACCCTGCAGGCGCCGCACCGCGGTTGAAGCGGTGAGTGTCTGGAGAGTCAAAACGCCTTCAATTTTGTGCGTGTGCAACACGCACATCCATGGAGCCTTAATAGTTGCATCAAGACTTTGGGATGAAATGCTTTGCTTGTAATTTTTAAAAAAACCATATTGTTAGCCCTGTGAAGACGGCATTTTCCAGCCTAAAACCGACTCCTGCAGTGGGAGATAGTGCACTCCGTCTGTCATTGATAATTTTTAGTCTCGAATGGTTTTTCTAATTTGATTTTGGCGAGGAAAATGCGAGTTGTAAAGGCTCCACGGCGCATCGCCATAGTGAGGACGCAGCAAGGGCCGGAATAATTCTAGTTAGGTGTCATAATTTTGAGTGTTTTTGTGGCAGAATGTCCTACACATCATTTCTTTACGAAGTAATGTTTTTTTGAACCACTCATCACCATGACTCTTTTTCCGCGGGCTGTCTCTATTAAAAAATGTCACTTTAAAAAAAATTCCATTCATGACTCTTTTCTAAAAAAAAGGTCACAAAACTTGTCCCATACTATTTTCATTAATGTGTTTTTACGACACAGGGCGGTGGTGCGGGAGTACGAAGAAATTATAGCTGGTCTCATGGAGATTGTCGAAAGAGATCGCAATGAGTTTGATAAAGAAAGACAGAACTTGCAGAAAGAAATTACAGAGCTCATCAGCCATCTGAATAGTTTGGAACTAGCCTTCAATGATATTCACCTGTAAGTATGTTATGTAATTGAAAGAAATGTTCATCTCTCTTATAGCTTGGGTGAGCGTTGCATATTGACGGCTCAAATTCAAGAATGCATGCGTAGATCTTCACCGCAACGTTTCAAAACCTCCGATTAAATAGGATCCTCTCTATTTTAATAAATAAATCATTTTTAAGACGCTCGACGGACGGGGTGAGGAAGGGGAGTTCAAAGGTCAGAGTTTTAACAGAGTAAGTATATTTACTTTCAGAAGCCTCTCTTTAGACATAGACAGCTATTATGTGGCCCTGTCAAGGTCGACATCCAAAAAATAAATCAAAATTCAGAGTAATGAGAAGGTCATTAAGAATATTGTTTGGCGGGAAATTTTTCTTTGAAACATCATTTTGTAATTGTATGAAATTATGTTTTCTTTAAACCGCCAACGGGCGATTTCGACGATTTCGCTGGCCGCGAAGCGCCCCGGAGGCTGGGGGCATAGCGCGTAGCCCCCTAGTTTTGTATAAAAACTATCCAAAAATTGTTCTGCCTCCTTTTGAATGATATATGTACGTCTCTAATATTCCGATGTGGGCATGATCCATAGCATGGCTAATCTAGAAATTTTAAGTCTTAACAAGTTGGATTTTGCAATCGCTAGCGATAGCAATATTCGTCATGGGAACGTTAGCTTCTGGGATATGAAAATGTTAAGGTACAGTTCGTTTGTAGTATCTTCTGAATTGAAGGGGCTATGTAATTTTGTGTTGACATCTCTTTTTTAACATTTTTANAAATAAGCTACTGCACCACCATTGCTAGCTGTGGAGGGCGCCCGTAGGGCGCCCGGAGCAGCTAGTTTTTAATTATTTTCTTTGCATACAAGAAAGCTGTTATGTACCAATTATTTATTTTCGTTGGATCATATATGGTTTTCGGAAGTTAACGTATTTAAGTTTCAGGTTCGCTTTTTCGGCGTAAAGTAGGTATACATAAGGTGTCCCAAAAGCACCGGGACTTGTTCTGTAACTTCGAAAGTAAGATGGATACAGACATGATCTTGATCTCATTTTAAAGATCAACTCAATACCTATCGATTAAATTCAAGATCAGCTCAATCGGATAAAAATTGACCGAGTTATGGTAATTTGAAATCAGCGAGGAAAGTTTACGCCTACGGTTTTTAAGGAAGATTCTTCATCGCCGTAAATCGAAAAGTCGGCCGATAAAGTGATGCTTATTGTGTTTTTTTATTTTCGAGGTGTCATTTATCAACATTTTGTACCATCAAACACAACAGTTGACAGTGCGTATTATTGCAAAGTACTAAAGGAGTTGAGAAAGCACATTTCCCGGAAACTGTCGGACTTGAAAGCTTCGTGGATACTCTGCCATCAAGACAATAATGCGCGGCCTCACACATCGAGCTTAACACGTGCATTTATGAGTAAAAATGGAGTTGAAACAATCCCTCATCCCCCTTATAGCCCTGACTTGGCTCCATGTGATTTTTGGATGTTTCCTACGCTTAAAAAGGAGCTTCGCGGACGAAGATTCGTATCGAAGACCGAAATCCAGAATGCAATTCAAAACTTCCTCAACTCCATCCCAGAGAAAGAATTCAGGAAAACAATGTTGGATAAGTGGCAAGAGCGCATGAAAAAGTGCATCCGGTTTGATGGACGGTACTTTGAAAAGCAAAAGGAAGTTATGGAAGATTCGGAGGAAAGTGGATACGATTATTAACTTTTTGAATCCTGGTAAGCGAAAAATCTTCCTAAAAAACGTAGGGGTAAACTTTCCTCACTAATTTCAAATTATCATAACTCGGTCAATTTTTATTCGATTGAGCTGATCTTGGTTTTAATCGACAGGTATTGAGTTGATCTCTAAAATGAAACCAAAATCATGTCTGTATCTATCTTAAAACTCCAAAAAACCCAAAAACTTGGGTAAAGAGACTCCGGGCAAGTCACCATCCTCTTGCCAAAAACCTCCAAAAGCTCTTCTTTGTTCCCCTCTTCAGTGGAAAAAGAAAATATCACACTACGACAGTTTCCATTTCTGTCATAGAGTACCCCAAGCGGACCAAAGAACGGAACTCTTAGTCGTTTACACATTTACCTATTTA